GCGGGTATCGCTCCGCCGCCGTCGTCCCGGTCGTCGCGCAGGGCCTGGGACGATTGCAGCGGCTGCAGCACGCCCGGCTGACCGGCACCGCTACGGCCGTCGGTGCCGCAACCGGCGTACAACCGGAGTCGGTCGTACGATCCGCCGAACGTGTAGCCGACAAACAGTCCCAGAAGGATGCCGGCCAACACGTGCGTCAGACGCCGCCTACGGTTGCCTCCGGTCGATTTCTTCTTGCCGCCGGCCGATGGCCGCTGTTTCTTGACCGCGGTCTTGTAGGCGTAGCGGTGTTGCTGCTGCTGCTGCGGCCGCGGTAGCGCCGGACGGCCGTAATGGTGGTAGTGCCGGTGGTCGTCGTGATGGTGGTCGCGGTGTTCGGTGTCTGTCGAGGTGGCCATCGGCGCCTCATCGTCCGCACACTGCACCGCTCGATGCACTGCACGTTTTTCACATAGCGGCCAGTCGTCGTTGCGATCGGTCGTGTTTTTTCGCGACTGTTATATTATTGTCACCGAAACGATATCATTTACTTTACGAAAACGGAAGGCAGAAAAACTATATATGCCTACGGTTTTGATGTCGTACGGACGGCAAACGCGAGCGCACGACTGTTACACGGATACCGAAACGAAACCGTTGCTGCGTGTCCGAATCGCACGAACGCACTGACACACGGTCCCGATCGTCGGTCGGCACTCGGCGGTGGACCGCCGCACGGCTCGGCCGCGGGCGACGACGGCGGTGACGCGTCGACCAAAACGGCGGCGGCGGCGGCGGCGACTGGTTCTCCGATCTCCCCCTCCCGCACACCGTCGTCACAGGATCTCGCCGACGACGTTTCGCGCGCGCTAACGTAAAAATGTTCAGTCGTCGCCCGTCCCATTGTTGTACAGATTATTATTACTACGTACGGTGGACGAGATTATTTTTTATTCTTTCGTTTGCGCACACTACACCACCTATATAGGTACCTGCTTAAATAACATTATATTGTGCGAGTACCTCGACGACGACAGCGTTATTGTCGTTATTAAAATTTTACGTCGATGATTCGATTTAACGCGTGCGCGCGTCACAATAATATGAATAGAGGTAGGCGAGGTACCCATACACCATGTTACATATTATCGGTACCTACTCGTAACGATGACCGAGTGAGGTATACACACAGTAGGTACGCCAACAACCGATACGGGGGTTTTTTTTTTTTTCATTAAATTTTTCGTCTTTTCGACCAAAATTTTTGGACGCTGTGATTTGTATGAAGAGCTCGAATTGGCGACGAACAGACACAACGGACGATGAAGCTCTTCTACTATTTATATATATTTAAAGAGCACCCTTATTAAAATGTTCATTAGAACGGCAGAGATCGGTAGGTATAGGTACGTTTCGTTTGTTCGTGAAAACGTATATTGAATAAGATTAGTAATCGACGACTATAAAATATAATTTAACTAACTAAATTTATTTTTAATGTAAATACCTACAAATTATTTGGTCATTAATAGTCGTAACTGGCATACTCGTATGTTGTTACTAATTATTTGTTTAATGATTAATAGTTAAAATGTGTGTGGCGGGCACAGCACTTATAGGTCGTACTCAATAATTTCAAGTCACGCTAATCTTTTTCAAGTATAGGAGTTCCGTTTCTTTTATTTTTCCAATTCCAGAAATGCAGTGTACGATATTACGCCCATGTGACGACGGAAACATAATCCGACCTTCTCGTACGACAGCTGAAATCCCAAACGTGTGCAACGTGCGCTTCATACATTTATACATGTTGCCACTTAAAAATGAAAACGTCTCCAGATTATAATAATATAGTATATCTATTACATAAGTTGTAATAATAAAAAGCTATAAAATATATAGTACTGTTATATTATATTTATAAAGAAATTATCGCTAGAGAAATCTTCAAGTTGAAAACAGATTGCTTCGTACAGCCTCGTCGGATCGTTCTCGTCTGGAGATTATGACAGTGGATAATACGATAAATCATGTATGCCACTTATCCACTCATTAGGTATATAATATACATACAATGTATTATGGTTATATTGTTTTCTGTTGTTATATATATATATATATATATATATACGCGATGAGATATGATATATTTTGTCCGCGATCTGAGATTAATAAATATACATTTACTCAGTGAATCTGCAACAATATATCATTTAAGTACCTACCTGCAGCCACTATTTGCAATTTATAGAGAATACCTATAGAGAGAATTTGCATTGCATGTTCATTATTTTATGTGTAATTAACTATATATTATAGGAAGGTATACACAAAATTTAATGTTATATATATATATATATATATATATATATATACATTATCCTTGTATTAAATTACCTATATTGATATGTAATTAGAATAAAAGGTTATAACTTATAATAAACAGTTTTAAATCAATTTAAATAAATAATAACGGTAATAATAAATCATAATTAAATATGACTATTACACAAAAGGTTCCGCAACAACTAAAAAATAATATGGTTATAAAAACATAAGAATAATAACTGTTTAGATTTCGGAAGTTGTAGAAATTTGTTTTTTCTATTATTGCTTGGATATAACGGTAAATCTCAATATCTGATATAAATTTGTTTTGTACCTACCACTGCTTTATAGATAATACACGAAATTTAATTTTGGTCCTTTTTAGCACATTTTTAGTTTTTTTTTCACATTTAAATTAATTTTTTCATTATATAACTGTTTGATATTGCACAAAACGTGATAATTTTCCTACGAATTCGAAATGTTTTAAATATTTATGTTTATAAAATAATGTCTGTAACCTGCACTTCAGAAATAGATCAAATTGGTTGTATTTTATATTAATTTATTCATTTTTGATTTATAAAAGTATTTTGTAAGATCGTCACCGACGTCAGTTTTTACTTAAAAATATTATCTTAATTATTTAATGCAACTTAGCAAAAATAATTATTTCAAATAAATAATAATGTAAAAAGTAAAATTTTATATTATTTTTACGAATTGCATACATTGAAACATTTTAAATTTTTTTAGGATTTCGTTGCTTTTTAATATCTTATATCTTATCTACAACATTTATACTTTAGTAATAAGTAATAACTAATAATCAATGAATTAAATCACGTGTGTTGTCAAAAATATAACATAATATAATACGAGTTAATTTCATTTATCTTTTTAAAATATTATAAATTATTAACTTTTTATGGGTTACCTTTTTAACGATTAAAATTCTTAAGCTCGGTAGTCCGATCGACGATACTTTTTGTGTTCAGTATTGGAATGCTATAATACTTAGGATACCTATAATATTCTTGTAGGTGTATGAATGTATAATTTATGTTTCTATTTATGAATATCAAAGTATAAACTTACACATTATATTACTGGGTTTTAATACCATCATGTTCATTATTGCATACATATTATAAAACTAATAATAATATAATATTACATTCTAGCTATATAGGTAATATATCTACAAAAAGTTTTATATTTCATTTTTTATACATTTTTAAAAAGAGAGTTTGGATTGTAAAAAAATTTCTTGAAGATACGTAGTATAAAGTAATTTTGAATTAGATACAACAACAAAATCAAATTAATTTTTTCAAAAATCAATTTTGCGTACAATTTTTAGTTTTTTTCTTAATCATGACTTGATTATTTTGAACCTCCAAGTTCCACGACTGTACATAATCATACTTATTAGATTTACTACCTATCAGAACCATTCTGAAAGCTGAAAATTGAAAAGTTTATCTAAAAATATGACAACCGATTTGAGTATAACATATAACAATATACGTTATAGTTAGCTGTGTTAATTAATTCTCAAGTATATCTATAATGTATACAATGCAAGCATTATTATTTAATATTTAATGATAGAAACAGGCCTGGACTCGGTTACTGTGCTACTGTTCTACAGCACAGAAGAATTTTCTTTAAAAATGTGTCATGTTCTTTTAGGGCCTAGATCATAGTTGTTTATTTTAATAAATATTATAATATTAAACATTATGTCATCGTATTAAGTCATTTAACAAATTATTTCTATTATTTATTATCATTTTATTTATTTATTCTATGTATTCCTGTCATGTTATTTAATACCATTAAGTAATTTAATATCCTATAAATTATTGATATAATACTTCCTACAGTTTGCGTAAAACGAACTTCTACTCGTTTGATAGATAAGAGTATGAAGTTAAAACGTAGATATATACATATAGATAAATATATAGAACTTTTTTCCCTCAATACATAAGATTAAATTAAAATACACAGTTGGTACATATTATTTATATCAATACATATTTAGGAGTAGAGTGCAATTTCCCCGGTAGGCTTTTTTTTTAATAAACTATAGACGTATTTGCGTTTATCATAAATTATAATAATGTGTAGTAAATATTAACACAGTTACTAAGGAAGTGTCAAAATTAAATTTTCATAAAATTGAAACATTTTTTTTCTAACTTAAATTTTATTCAAACTCTTACGATTTTTCTTTTTTTTTTGTAAAAATGTAATTAAATAAAATTAATTTTAATTTTCTATTGAATTTTTATATATATTTTTAAATCAATATTTATGGATAAGTTAAATATTCCTTCTTTTTTCATTACAAATGAATAATAATTGTAAAAAAAAATGGTGGGAAATCGTTTTTCTTTATAGTTAAATATATGTGTTGAGTATAGGTATGGTATACCTTCTCATCACTGAGTAAGTCACTATAATGGAAGTGTTAAATTTAATTCAATGATATAATTTGTTTAATACAAAAAACGATTTAGAGCGGAAACAATGCTTTGTCGGCTTCTATTTTTAAGGATATTTTGTAAATTCTTTCTAGTTTATCTTAATATTAATAACACAGTAGGTAGGTTGAATTTATTTTTTCCAAAAACATGGGATTTATTAGTATTGTCAAATATTAAATAACTATTATTTATATAGATATCAATGATATCATATATTGTTATTATTATTGGCTTATTAGTAAATACTAATATACAATAGAACGGTGTAAATATGTTCGTAATCGTATAAATAACATTAATGAATAAGTATAAATATTTGAAAAATATTAATGTGAATGAAAAATAATAATATACGTAATTGCGAAAAGTTTCAAAACGTCGGTTAGGTCTATGCTATAGTTATATAGTATATAATATTAAAGGCGTTCAAATAATTTTCAATAATGCATTAGTTATTTTATGAAGTTACTTTGCATGAAAAGTAATTTAATTCAATATGAATACTATGATGCATTAATATGTTAATATGTTATACACTTATATACTTAATACTAATTAGTAATTAGTGACGTCATTAAAGTGTTAATAAAGAGTAATAAATTAATTTAAACAATAATACTACTTTATTAATTACTAATACACATTTGTCCAATGGTTACCTATATGCATATTATATTATTGCATATAATTGCAGCACAATGAATAAATAATACCTATCCTGCCTTTTCTTTAAAAAAAAAGTGCTGTTATAAAATCACACTTTACTATCATTAAAAAATAAATGTTGTTAGTAACTTTTTATGAAAAAAAATAATTAAATATAGTTCAAATTACATTTTTACCTTTTTAAAACTTTTGAACTTGACTATTAAACTTAATATTGAATTATTTCAGAAAAAATACCTTTAGAAGATAATATTAATTTCTTAAAGTACAGGGTACCTATACATAGGTATTTTGCAGCACCATACTGCAGAGTACAGTTGACAACTGAATAGGAACCCGCATACACATATAGCGAAACTTTGGTATCTACAACCTACTTAAAAATTATAGGTTTGAAAAATGCCTAGTCATCTCATAACTACACTTTTCAAGTTTCTACTACAATTACTGCATGATCAATACATTAACGTTGACTAAATATTTCAATAATGAGAAAAATAATGAATTGTTGGGATAAAAGTGGATTTTATAGCTTCGGACAAGAAATAATGTTATAAGACCATTAAAGGAATATGTGTCCCATCCTTATAGTTTGATATCGACTTCCGAGTTCCTAGTATTGTATAAGTTGTTACTTGTTAGTACGACTGCTTCGCGGAATACTTTCTTCCAGATTTTTCATCTGAAAACTGATCTTACTGCTGAAACGTATAAACGTATTTGATATTATTATTTGTCATAAATATTTGAGAAGTAGGTACGTTGTGTTTTGTTTTATGGTTACCATTAATAAATATCAATCAAAATAAATGGATAAAATAATTGTCCAATAAGGACGTAACAAATAGTAATTTTATCTGACTGAAATACATTTTAATGTTTTTAATCATTGCAAGTTACGATTGTATTAAATTTTATTTATATTACTAATTATAACTACTTAATTATTACGATGTTTGTTTAAAATATCTAAGTTTTGTATTTCAATTATAGAGGAATATGATTCGTATAATTTAATGTGTGAACTGTCGAGTTTAATAAATTGCTAAAAGTATATAGATCTATAAACTTTATGAAACACCCTTTAGTAGGTATATTTTTAAATATATCAAATACATAACTACATACAATTAAAAAAACAAATCTCCATTTAAACATTGACTTTAGAAGGTAAGTACCTACTTAAAATTTAGGTTATAATATAAAATTAGGTACTTACTCTGTTTTATATTAATAATTGAACTAGATATTTCTTGGACTGTAATAAATATAAGTACTGCTCGATGAATTTTTTATTATACTAAGCTAGCAAGCTATTTAATTTGATTTGGTTATCAGCTAAAATCATTATCAAAGTTTCGAAGGTATACTTTAACATAAAACATATTAGGTAATAATAATTAACATAGAAAAAATTTTATTCAACCACATAAGATGTGACAGAAAGTGCAACGAAAATCTGAAGACAGAAGAGCTTAAATAATTGGAAATAAATCTTTATGTCATTTGGTATCTTCTTATCCAGTGCATAAAGAACAACATCTATTTACAGTCAAAGTTTGATTTTTGTTTTAAAAACTGTTTAATCAATGTCAATATTCACATAAGTTTTTAAAGAAATTTAATCAAAATTCTAGTAAGAAGTAAAATAATAATAACCAACTTGATACTTATAAATTTGCCTTGCAGTAAACTGTAACGATATGCTCACATATCATTGTACATATACATAAAATTCAATCAAATAAATTAACGGTCAAATTGTCGCACGCAGACTAAACTCTATAAACATCTTTTCGCCACTGATGAAAGAAAACGACTTATATTATATGGTCACAAGAGGATTGACACATGAGTTGTGACAATATCTCGCAAAGCATGTGAACCAATTTCGTTAGCCACCAGAGACAAGCCATGGAACTATGAAGCTCTCTGTCGTCTAGAAGAAAGACTATTTCTTCGAAAAACGCTGAGTCCTTTTTTTGATGGCATCGCCTGCGATTCTGGCTGGCTCGCTGGATCACGTTGTCTTCTCTCATCAGTGCACGAGTACCAGCCAAGTTGTCGAGTGCATGCGTACCGACAAAATAATGGGTGCAGGCGCACCAGACAAGCGAGCAGGAGCTCTTCCCAAAACCACCATATAAAATACACACAAGACTCTACGGGCGACAGCTGGACTTCTTTCTCTTTCTAAATTAAATCAGAGTTGTTTTTCTTATTTAAATCGTAATTTGTGTCACCTTGCATCTTTCTCTGAAGAACGTACTATAAGTATTCACTGCGGCGAATCAGGTAAGGTGCATGTCTAAAACACTAATTGTTAGTACAGGTTATGTTACTATCTAATTTGTGTAATGGTGTATTTGATCATATTCTCGAATCACGATCTCGAAAGCCCTCCGAAGAACAAGAGGAAGGTAATAACACGAGAACAAGTATATTCAATATTTATTAATACCGGACTTACATACAAGGCTTGTGTCCCTTGTGTCAGTCCGGCCGCTTTATACTTCTACTTTTTATCTTACTTTTTATATTTTTATTTATAAACTTTAATTTCTCTATTTTGTGTTATTAAAAAAAAACCTTATACTTAAATAGTTTTATATCAAGTAAAGTTACAATTTATCAGATTAGAAAGGGTATCATAATCACAAAACACTCCTATATGTACATCAGCTGCCACCTAGTAGGTATGTAGTTGTTAATAATAAACAATTATCTATAACTATTGTTAATAGATACTACTTTTTATAAATTAATAAATCATGATAGTAGACTTAAGACATACAGAAATTTAATAATTAGGTAAGCAACTACTGGTTACTAATATAAGGTGTATAACCATTTTAAATTTAGAGCTTTTTTTATGCAAACCTCAAACTCAATAGTTATATACTTTTAGGTAAAGTAATTTCCATAAAATTTTAATTTAATAAATTAAATTGGATAAGAAAAAAATCTTCTAATTAATATAATTGTATAACTTACTATTTTTGACACATTACTGATCTAATGATATTTTTAAGTGTTTAAGTTACAAAATGTATAAAATTCAAAATCGTTTTAAATTTAATAATACTTAAACTTTAAATACTCACATGATAAAAATATAAATATATTAAAAGTTGCTTAATTTGTTATCAGAGATCATGACTACAATATTTTATGAATTTTATAAATCAGTGAATAAAAAAATAACAGTACCTAATCTGAAATTAATCTGGCTCAAGTTTTTCACAGTTTTTAATCTAGATCCAGGACATGTATAATTAAAAATTGATTGATGTATTATTAATTAAAGTTTCTCTGATAATATAATCTGAACTTCCTGCTAATTAAAGAGATTAAAAACTTAAGATAGGACTAAAAATATTTTTTTGATAAAACAGTAATAAAATAGGTATTTTAATAAAAATTAATTGTTTTATATTATATTACATTATATTATGTATACCTAAGTTTAAAAATAAAAATTATAATAACATTCTAAACATATAATTTATAAATATAAAATTTTAAGCTAAGGCTACATTTTTTTTACCTTATAGAATGTGCTATTGATTATAATACGCTCAATCTATATCTAAATATGATAAATCATCTTCATCTTCTAATGAGAAAATATTTGATAAATTTGATGATGGATCATTTTGGATTGTTGGTGATTTCAAAATATTTGGTTGTTCTTCTTGATTATTGTTTGAACTAGTTGGCTTTTTATGATATCGATACACACTCAGCTTCATTCTTGCCAACTGCCCTGTATCTAATTTAGTGCTAGATAATGTTTGTGAAATGTAATTTTTCCGTTTTAAACAAGAGTTATTAGAAATGTTTGTAGATGGCCCTGGTGATGTTACTGCTGTTATAGGTAAGGTAGATGAATTTGTTGAAATGTTGGTAATATTTTTACTAGTACTGTTGACAAAAATATCTTCATCATTCGAGTTTTCATCAATTATAAATTGTGTGTCCTGTTTGGGAGCATTAACACATTTTGTTTTAATTTTAGATGTTAATGGTTTTATTAATTCTTTTTTGTGCATCTGAGATTTAAAAAAATCTTTTTGTTTTTTTATTTTAATATTTTGTATGGTTTCTGTTATTTTGTTTGTTAAACTATTATCTGAATTTTTAGAAAGAATGTTCTGTTTATTAACATCATCTATGCTGGTATTAGTTGTGTCAGACAAATGTACTGAAGATGTATTACACCACAAATTCATTTCTTTTTCAAGAATGTCATCCAAACCTAATTTTTTCAAAATTCTTTCCACTACATACAAAAATATTATTAAAAATACTATATAATAATAAAAATAATAATCATAATAAAATATATTACTTTCTTTAATATATGCTTCTTTAGGACATGGAGGAAATTTAGTGTATAAGGTATTAATACTATCTGGAGACCCATCATCATTTGAACATTCCATTAGTGACACAGCAACTATAGCATCTTGAACGAGAACTTGATTACGGAACATGAGTTTTGCATGTGCCTGAGATAACCTTAAAGACAAAGTATAATTAGAATTACACAAAATTTTTAAATTACGACTTCAGTAGTTCAGTCTATAACAGTCATAAAAATAATACCAAACATATTATGCTATTACTTTAAATAGTAATAGTAATTTTTTAAAAAATTGAATAAGCACCCAATAAAATTAAAATATTAATTCATTTAAATAATATGTTAGATAAACCTATCATTTCAAAATTAATAATTAATGACTTTACATTTATTTGTCTAAAACTTTATTTTTTTTAACTTTAATACTATTTCAACTACATTAATGATACCTCAGAAGGCTTTCCAAAAACCGTACACTAGTTCTAGCAGGATTTCTGTAGGTACTTTGACGTTGCATCCAATAATATTTACTTAGAACTGTGTTAGCATCTTCTGTAGTCTCAGGAGTCATACTTCTTATAGTACAAAAATAATGTTGAAGTTTTTCTAGATTCCATAATGTTGTACTGTTTTTATGAGCTCCCGGTTTTTTTCCTTGAAGCACATATGAAGATACAACTCTAAATAATTAAGTTAAACCATTTATTATATCTGATCAAAATTTAACTTGTACAGGTAAAATAATATTACTTTTCCCACTCTTCATTTTTTGTATCTATAAGAATTAAAATTAAATCAAAACGACTTAGCAATGGACTGGCTATTTTAATATTATCCGATATGGATAAATTTAAATTATATCTACTTTTTGGATTCATTGCAGCCATAACAGTACAGCGAGTATCTAGCTTACATACTAAACCAGCCTATAAAAGTAATAGAAAAATATTAATTCTTAATAAAATGAAAAGTGTAGAATAAAATTATAAGTAATAATTTTTATTTAATTAAGAATATTCAATACTTTTGCAACACTAATCGATTGCTGTTCCATTGCTTCATGAATCGCTGTACGATCATCTTCTCTTAATGATCCAAACTCATCGACACAACAAATTCCACCATCAGCCAATACTAGGGCACCAGCTTCCAAATGCCATTCAGACCCTTCCTATTAATAATAAAAATTTGAAAAATCTTAACTTAGAATACTATTAATCTAATTTAGTTTTTAACCCTGAACGCCGCAACAGTCAGTCCTGCTTTTGATGAACCAACTCCAGTGGTGAATATTGATCTAGGGCATACTTTCCATGCAAACTTAAGCAGCTGCGATTTGCCAGTACCCGGATCTCCAACTAATAATAAATGAGTTTCACCACGAATTTTAGTTCCACCACCTTCTGATGCAGGCCTTTGCACTCCACCAGCTAAACCTAAGGCGACAGCCAATTTTGCAGTATACAATCCATAAGTCTAAAATTCATGGTTAAAATCAAATTAAATAGGAAAATAAAACAATAATCATAATTTTACTGACTTGAGGGCTAATTGATGCTATAATAAGATCTCTAGCTGCTAATAAATCGTTTTTATTGTCTTCCCAAAATGTTTCAAATTCATGGACCCATTCATTTGTTATCATAATTGCCGACTGTTGATCATTACAGACAATCAAATGGTTAGCTCTGAAGCATAACTCTATGTCAATATAAGAGTTTTCAACAGTCTGACGCCATCTTCGAATAACAGTACCACTAAAAAAAAATAACTTATAGCATTATAGATTCAAATGAAAATAGGTAGAAGGTACTTTCATTTTTACCATATTATGACATCATCACCAGGTTTACACTTATCCACCAAATCATCTTCTAACGATACCCACATTGAACGAGGCATTGCTCCGAGGCCCACTTTACCAATTTGTTCCTAAGATATTAATGTGCTAATACTTTTAATGCTAAAATATTATACATGTAGATAGAAACTTACTTGAATTTTAATTTCTTGATAATCTTTTAAAAATTGATCTTCATCTTTTAATGGTTTTAAATTAGTACCAGAACAACCTTCTGAGTTTGGACATCTTAAAGGAACTACCAATTTATTAAATTGCTCATAATCAATCTTAAAAAGAGTATTGTAATTCATAATTATAAATTATATATAACAAGTAAAAGGAAATATAAAAACATAAAAATAAAAGGGTTTTTATTAATAATATAAGTACCCAATTAAAATTATTAGTATAATTATCTATGGTGCAGTGAATATTATTAGTATTGATTATAGCAGAATTTCTTAAACTGTGTAATTTTTTTCAAAATTTTCAAGAAAATTACTCTTATTTCATTAAAATTAAAATTTAGTCTAATTAAAGTAATTTATGTATTATTATACACAATTATAAATCTTTTTATTTTTATTTTAACATATTTTTTAATTTAATGTCTTTAACACACTATTATTGTATGGAATAACTATAATTTTTATTGTAAATAAACCCCCCAAAAAAGCTAAATAAAAGTAAAGATTCCACAATGAAAGTAAACACCAAAAAAGGTTCTACAGATAAAAAAGTTTAAGAAACGATGAATTATAGAATAATAATTTATTGTAATAGTAAAGTTCTTTATAAATTTTAGTTCTAGGACAATCATTTTAATATCATAAGCCATTATTATAAAATATTATAGACAAGAAATGTTAAAAACTTAAGTTATACCTTTACGTCAAATGGTTCTTTACATTTAGAACAGTAATAAACTTTTTTGTACTCTAATAATTTGGGCAAAACTGTTCTTACAACAGTGCCATTGACACGTAAAAATGAACCAATATCTTCATTGCGAGGAAATATTGTACGATGAAGTTCTGGACATAATGGTAATGCTAAATAATAAATACTAAAATTATTTACAAGCTGCAATTTTTGATTGATTAACACGTTAACCACCATATGACTACCGGCGATCATCTGTAATTCTCAAATTTTATTCATTTGTGACCGCTGGCACCTATAGTTTATCATTAATACCACGCTATATGACTGCCAGCAACCATACATTAATTTAATTTTATATTATTAACATTTCTATGGTGCTACAATAATGCACCAAAATAAGGACCATGGCGTAGTAGGAATTATTACAATTTTTTTGATATAAGTACCTATCATATATTATTAATTTTTCAATTTTTTTAAATATTTAGTATATAAAAATTTGAAAAACATTGAAAAATATGTTTGGCTGACAGTCATATGGCAGTTAACGTGTTAAAAAACAAACGTAATTATACTAATCAAACATTTAAACATTTAAATATTTACCTAAAATCAATTAATCATCAATAAATATTTGCATTATGAATTATATATAGATCCATATAAAAGTAAATTATTTCAATTACAAATGTGTTCAATGTTAGAATTAATCAGATAGTAATACAAACCAGTAATTCGAGTATGTATTTTTTTTTTAACCCTGAGTTTAACTGAGTAATCTTTGTGATTGTTTTTTAAAACTCTTTGAACCGTGATCAAATCTTTGTCAAACTGTTCTAGTAATTTAATTGAATCCTCGAGTATTTCTTCTCCTAATTTGGCATTTTTCTCGAAAAGTGTTAAAAAACTAAAAACCCATACAACTGTTAATTAATTTATAAATAAAAATATTTAATGACAATATACTTAATTGTTAATGAGTAGTGCTGCTTTTTATTTTCAGATTTTAGTATATTGAGTAGGTCATCTTCATGATAAGTATACAGGTACTCTTTAAACATTTTACTTAATACAATAACTTACATAAATTTATGCAATTTTTTTACCATGAAAAGTTTTTTTTTTTAGAAATCAAGAGAATAAATCTTATTAATTGAAACTAGTTAGATATATGTAATAAGTACTAGTGAATCAAAAAAAATATGGTAAATGTTGTGTAAAACACTATGAAATTAAAATTTTTGAATTACTTTTATCTTATCATTGAATTTAAAAACCGCCAAAAATGAATGTCATATCATATACGATTGAAATAATCACTTTGTTTATTATCATGAACCTAGCCCATGATTGTTTTTTATCAACATTCTAGTCTTTCTAGTTGATCATGACAAAATTGAAAATAGATCAGTTGGACAGGTAGAATTGAACAATTAAATTGAATAATTATATGGTTACAAAATACAAATCAAACTTTGCATCTGACACCTATAAGCTAACTATAATTTAAAATAAATCATAATAGTATGTAAGTGTACAAAATTAAAATTGTGTAATGCACTAATCTTTTTCAATTAATTTACTTTTAATGTAATCATTAATCATATCAATAAAAACATAACATAGTATGTTATCTATTTCTTAGCTTATCTATATTAGTTTTATATTGTATATACAATCTAGTATTTCATATTCATTTTTTAACAAGAAACATCATTAATTAATATATTTTAATTTGCAGAATATGAATAATTTAGATTTTTACAATAGTTGTAGATATGAAGTTCTTGCAGAAATATCATTTCATACTGATACTTCAAAAAATCAGTTTGTAAAATTATTATGCAGTCGTCTTTTAGCCCGATGTTATCTTAAGTATATACCTATAAATTATTAATAACATGTTTGTTTAATTTTATTTAATGGTTAGATATAAATTAAGCTATATTGTTTAATACATTTTCAATCAAAAAATACCTGAATAAATTGTTGATTTTAAAATGTCTAAGTTTTTTATTATTTTTGTTTTAGTAAATTAGATACAAGATGCATTGAGCCATTAGAATCTAATAAAGAAGATGAGTGTTCAACTGTTCAAAAGCAGTTTGAAAATTTAAGTACTAATGAATTACAACAACATGCTGAATGGTATGATTACTGGGAAAAAAATGGTGAAAACTTTGTTAATGAAGCTTGGATTAAACTGTATGGAAGTTGTACACTAGATGAACTTCCAACTGATATCGAAAATTTATATCAAAATCATAAGGAACAACAATATCATATATTATATTGGAAGTTTATTAATGAGATGAGTTCTAATGCTTCAGAAACTTCCTCTGAGAATTTGTAAGTTAATGTTTTAAACAATTTTTTTATACTAATAATAAAATATTTAATTATTTCTATTTTTTCCAAACAGTGAGAATGATGAATGTAGTTTAAAATATAGCAAAGAACTTGTTACTGATGATCAAGTTTCAAATTTTGATTTCCTTTACAAATATAAGTAAGTAAATATAAGTAATATTACAGCATAGAATCAATACCTAACTGGTATTATATTATATGCACATAAATTGATTAAATGTTTATTATTTTTAAAAGAAAATCACAATTTTTTGTTCAACTAAATATGATTGAATTAGTTTTATTGTATTAAAATTGATTTATGTTTTTAGAAATTTTCAACAACCAAACAGTAAACTTTCCAAAGCTTATAGGGCTATTAGTATAATGGGATTTATTTATAATGATCAAAATATGTTTGATATGGGATTTGTTCAATATCTTAAAAAAAACATTATTAAATCAACTCGTCATCTAAATGTGTATAGGTTTCCAAAGATGGTGAGTTTTTATTATTTTTTTGAAAATATTTTAGTTTCTTGATTGATTTCTAACATTTCATTAGGGCTGATAACTACAATTTATCTAAATAAAGATATGGATTTAAAAAATTCAAATTATTGTGATGTTAAAGTAATGCGACTTTTATAATTATTAATGTTAAGCTTTGCTCATAAACGTACAATATCTATATTTAGAGTATTTAAACTTAAAGAACTTATATAATTAACTTCAGCATTTCATTGTTTAAAATATTATTGATTATAGAGTATAATGAAATGATATGGTTAAAAAAACTGAGTTTGTGTAATTATAAGACATAGTTAATCAAATTCCTCCAGCATACAATTGGTATAAAGCTTATACATCATATTATTTATATCAGGTATTTATTTAAAATGTGTACAATGTGTAACAAGTATAAAAATTAAAAAACATTAAACATATATATATTTTTTTAATAGTAATTTTAAAACTTTATTAATTATTGATAAATTTTTATTATTTCAAGTTGTATTAATATGAACAATTAATTGTTAGTTAATAGTTATTAATGATTAATGAAAGATAAAGTCAATGATGTTCATTTTTACGCTCAAACGTGTTTTTATATTAAAATTTGTTTTTATTAAAGTTTTTTATTATATTTTTAGTGTGCTACGCCTACATTTGATGATAACTTGTTATTGAATAATTCTAAAGATTGTGTGGAGAGTAAAGTTAAAAATAAAAAAACATTAAAAAAAGAAGAACGTAAAGATATAAAAGAAAAACATACTATCGAAGAAATGAATAGACTGGGCTATAGCTATTTGCAAAATAAACCTAAATTATTGAAGTATTGGAAAAAAAGATATATGTTGTTTTCTAAATTTGAAAAAGGGATAAAACTAGATGAAGGTATTATTTTAAGTTTATTATTATTGATAGTTATTGATGTCAAAATTATTTATTTTAATTCTTAATAATATTAATAAACTTCTTTGATACTTATGTCTTTTAATTGGTTTCAGAGAGTTGGTATTCTGTTACTCCTGAAATAATTAGTATTCATATAGCTGAACGATGTAGTTGCTATTTGATTGTTGACCCATTTTGTGGAGCTGGCAGTAACATTATTCAATTTGCTAAGACCTGTGAACTAGGTAAGTCTTAAAATGTCAATAGTTTTATGTTTCACACATATCATTCATACAATAAAATTTATTTTGTATTTTAGTTATAGCTATTGATATTGATCCAAAAAAGATTGAAATAGCCCGTCACAATGCAGAATTATATGGTGTTGCAGATCGAATTCAATTCATTATTGGTGATTACTTTACTTTAGCACCAACTCTTAAAGCTGATGTTGTGTTTTTGTCTCCACCTTGGGGTGGACCTGATCTCATGAATCTTGAAGAGTACAAACTAAGTTACATAATGCCCGAAAAAGGTGGCATACAACACATGATGAGTTTGACTCGACAAATCACATCAAATATTGCACTACATTTACCAAAAAATACTAACATTTTCGATGTAAGATAAACTTTAAGTTAATAGTAATTACTAATGCGTAATATTTATGAAATATGATAATCATTATTATTATGTTTTTTCAGTGTATTAAATCTGCAGAAGATGATTTTATTGAGGTACAACAGAATATGCTTAATTCAAGGTATAACTCTTTAACAGTTTACTATAGTGAACTGTATGGACTCTGCGATGAAGATACTATCACGTATAATGATGGTTAGATTATAGAATGTATAGCAATTTTGATTTATTTTAAATATTTTATGTGATGTTAATTATTCTAAAATTTGCTATATATTTAGGGTTAACTACAGTTTTTATAAACAAACAATTATTAATAAATAAGTAAATGAATCAGATTTTTTTTTTTTAACATCTTAGAAGACTTAATATTTTACACTTCCTTTATAAACCTAAATGTATATTAGTCAATAATTTATTGTATTCATCTTTAAAGTTAATTTAAACTTATAAAAGTTCAATAAAACTGAATGTGTTTATAATGTAAATATTGGTACTCTGCTGTGTGCAAATAGTAGTCTGTATCATGTAAGCACTTTTTAATCTAGAAATGGGAATTTTTCCAAAAAATATTGACCAATTGCACTGGTAGCCAAGCCTAGGTTAGCCTACGAGCAACAACTAGACCTTTTTTAACCAGCTATACAGTGTGTTTTTATTTTGAATCACGTAATTTATGTCACTTTACCATACTACACAATTGTCTATAGACAGCTGTGAACCAAGTAAGACGCATGTAGATCATTTTATAGTCGTTATACTTATATTTTACATAGGCACAATTTTTTTTGTACAGTAGGTACTTGATCAAACTCGAAAAACCAACGTAGACGGCCCTCCGTAGATCTAAAGGAAGAATGAAGTTAGTAGCCAAATTTTATCTTAATATGTATATGTTTTCGGTAGGCGATAAAATTCTTTAGTATTTATAGGAAAGATCCTCCAGGGCCAGGGGTGTATTTACATGTTTTCCACGTGTAGGCCTATGTGCAAATTGCTAACCTAAATAACTAAAATAATATACTACATTAACTGAATATCATTTAATAACCTACTATAAAAAAAATATAGTAAATCTTAAAATATACATTATATAAGTAGATATGCAAAACCAATTTTATTTAAATACTAAAACACGATTTCTTAAGAGTTAAATAATTTCTATTAATTATATCGACTTTCGTCAACATTTGATAGAAGGTTAGGTCGATAAAATCGATTAAATCTTCGCAATTCAATCATTTTAACATAAAACATTTAGATACAGTAGCATGTAGCATGTTTGCATACATTTATAGAATTTGAAAAATTTTATTAGTTCTTGTTAATTTACTATTCATTATGTAAGAATAAATTGTTAATACATAAATATGAAAAAATATTAAAATATTTTTACTTAACCACCCACAATTTTAGATGGTTCAAATGCATCATCTTGACTTTTGAGTGCGTACTCGGCGCCGCCAATAATCATAAAAAATGAAGAATATTAAAAATAATAAGAAAATAATTAATTCAAAAATACAAAAACGTCTTACACTAGTTCATCCCATGGCACACACGGCAACGTGATTAATAATATTAATACGACTGGAATAGTGAAACATACGTATTTTTATTATAAAATAAACAACTATCGTTCATACTATATAGTATATACTATGTACATTGTACAAAGTGCATTTTCAGGAGACCATATTGGATTACATTCGCCTGCACTATAGGATAGTATTTTAATTTTAAATTCGTCACATAAAGAAGATAGAACATGAATGAGTAAAAAATTTATTTTGATCTGATAAATCACAATGATGATAATAACAATACGATGTACAATAAGCAGTAGTGAGTATAGTACCATTGATTTTATAATATACATATTATTCATTGTTATATTACACAATCAATGGTGGAACTTAAACATAGGTGTACAGTATAATCACGTTTACATTATTTATGCAGAAGTGGTACTATGTTTTTATCAATTTTTGTACTCTACAGTCTACAATATTGTTTGTATGCATATTTATGTATACTATCTGTATATATAGAATATATATACTGTCTAAATTGTGAGGAAACGTACATAATTCTTCAGACTGCTGTTTATTATTAGTTATTAGTTATTACTGTTCAGTGTCCGCTCATATACTGGTTTTTAAGTTTTTTTATAATAGCAAAATAATGTATACCTGCATCGAAAGTGATATTTTATACTCCGATTCTGTATGAAAAAAAAAAATTAAACTAAATAGTGCAAACAGAAAATAAAATTGTGTACAACTATAAAATATAGGTAAATGTTATATTAGGCTAGGATCACACTATGCGTTTTGTCGGTTCCCGACCAACCGGAGCCGAACCGCAACACTTTAAAATAAAATAGGTTTAAATATAAAACGCGTTATCAGGGTCAAACTAGACTGATTTTCGGAACCGATTAAAAACCGTCTGGAAGCGACCGCAACGTGTTGCGGCCCAACCGTCCGGTTGCGTTTCGGGATGTAAAGCACAACACATGCAATTGCATTTGTCTGATCACATTTGCGAGGATTATCGGTAACCGAAATTGAAAATTTTATTAATAATTAATAACCATTTTTAAATTTAAATAATTAAAAAACTTAAAATATATTTGTAATATACATATATATATTATATTTTATTTATATTATAGATGTATATTATTATTTATTAGCATAATTAGTTGATACACGTTTTAAATAAAAACAAATAATTCTAATTACACAACCTTTTTATTATTTTTTTACTTATAATATTAGATCCATTTCGTTTAAATAAAAAATCAGTTTAAAATTTAAATTTAAATTAAAAACGATTTTCGGGCTTTTTAATCTCATTTGTATGTATTCGGTTACCGATAAAACGCACAGTATGATCGATCGTCCCGATTGCGGTTAATCGGGATAGTATTTTTCGGTTGCCGACAAAACGCATAGTGTGATCCTAGCCTAAGCTTTATAAACTTTTAATTACTTTTAAATATGTGTGTAATTTTATGCATCAATATTGATTTAGGTAGTTAATACTCAAGTTAGGTAGCATCACTCTGTTTTTAAATAATTTTATACCTGTACAATGTATATAATACTGAATAGTGAATTCATAATAATTGTTTATTGCTAGATTGAAATAGATGAATTAAAATCGATGATAACGATTTCTTTGAAATTCCCATAGACCTTATACTCAGTATAAGGTCTATGGAAATTCCACACTTTTAATATTAACGAATCCCTACAGACGGTGATAAGAAATTATAAAAATAGATATTCTGTTTATTGTTGGAATAAGCAAAAAGCAATTGCCTATTCTAATATAAATATATTTTACAATCACAGAAAACCTTAAAATGTTAATGTTTCATAAAAATGCATGGCATAGCAAAGGGAGCAAGTATTCCCCTGGGCGCCCCTTCGCCCACCCCCATTGGATCTGCCCCTGGTTTGCCCCCTTGATTAAAATCCTAGCTACTCCTATGTCATAGACTATGACAAAGCCTAATGATTATTTTTTTACACTGAAAACAATTATTGTTTAATTTTTAATAGAAAGTCGTAGGTACTCGTATATATGAATTTATAGCGCAAATACACAATATTTGTTTTTATTATTTAGTAAAGAAAGAAGACAATATTGTTCAATAGTATAAAATTAAATTATATAAATTATATACCTATCTACTGGCTACTATTTACTATTTTACTACGATGTACTACTATTAACATTACAATATAGTATAATTCATATGGTAAGAATTAAAAACAGTAAAACATAAGTACTTTCTTTTATTTTAATAAATGACAATCGTAATAAAAATAATTACCTATAATTAAATTATATACAATTATTAAACATTTTGTTTCAGATAAAATTTTAAGAAACAAGTTTAAACGTTCAAAATACAAATATTCAAAATATATTAGGTATATTTAAACATTTTTATACCATTTTAAACATTTATAATAATAAAAATGAATATACTGTAAAATATTAGGTACCTACCTTTAATTTTAAATATATCAAATGAATTGTTTAAATTTTTATTTCTGTACATTATACTCTACAGGGACCTGAAACATTATACATGTCACTGCAGTATTATACCTATCTAGCACTCAATACTAACGAGTGTAGTCAATTTTTACCCTAAATATTTATAACATATGTAATTTGCACTAAAACTTAAACTGCGTTTATAAGTTACACCAAAATAAAGATATGTAAATATAATTTACACCATCTCAGGTAGTAATAAATAGGAAATGTAATTAACACAAAAATCAAAATCAATTAATATAAAATAGGAACTATTGAAAGAATAATTGTACAATTTTTAATATTTGAGTATAGGTAATACATAAAAAAAAATAATAAAAATAAAAAAATAATAAAACAAACTGATGTTGCATTAATTGTCAGATTAGTTAGATTGCAACTTATGTTTTGATATTTACAGGTTTTTTTGTATTTGTATGCAGCTAATTCATGAATGAAGTTTTTGATATCAATTTATTATTATAATGGTCCAAAGCAACTTAAATTTGATTTGTTCGTTCACTTGTTTAAGGAGTCATTCGGTTACGTTTATGTAAACTCGATAGTTTTATGTACGTATCTGTTTGAAAATCGGTGAGAACTTTAATGAAGTAAAACATTTTCTTAAATATCGAAACTTGTACGATTATTTTTTCGATAGTATCTATCTTATAATAATCGATTTTGATTTTGGTACAAATTACATTTTTTACTTTTTACTACCAACGGTGGTGAAAATTATATACCCTTATTTTAGTGCAAATTACAAACACTACTTTCGGCTACCTGCAGTGGTGCAAATTACACATCTTTAATTTGGTGCAAATCACGAATTCCTAAACTACCTATACCTAATATCACAGGGTGATTTTTTTTTTTTTTTATCTAGAAACGTTCATTATCCTGAAAAATATTTTATTGTATATCATTCAAAGTCGTTATAATTCAAATTTTTTTGAAAAGAACTAGAAGGTAGATACTAGATACCATTTATTCAGGAATATGAAATTATTTTCGAATGTAAATAGATATTATAATACTATAATACTATTATACAACGCCATTCAAAAAGGGTTTGTAGCGTTAACATTTTTTTTTTTTTAATTTATTTTGTAATAACTACAAATTATCTAAAAAACACATTTTTTGAAAACTTTTTCAGGTAATCTCCACTTAAATTTTGAGATAACGAGTGTTTACTGAATTATCTTGCAAATTCCATCATACTTAATATTAAAACCCGCGATTTCAAACTCGCGGATTGAAGATTTCGTATCGGATGTCATTATACATAATATTATAATAAAGTGATAGGTATATTATTAAATGCGGTAAATGTCATTCGCGTCCCGATAACAATAATATATATAAGTTGCGATTCGTGTTTGTCATATACTTACTCAAGTATACGTCAATTGTGTCTGACGGAAAATTCGTTATTATTTTTACTATTATTATACTACTATTGTAGAAACGTACAACAAACACATATTAGTTCACCGATAACCTTATAAGTACACAAATGATTCGGTGTTTTTTTTTAAATTTGAAATAAACGTTATGAATAGTGAATTAAACAATACCACGAAAAGTGAAAAAAATAACGATTATAATTGACTGGCGGTCATAAATTTCGTTTTTTGTAAGTTTTAAAAAAATGATATTGAATGTTGGTGTTGCACCGTCAAAACGTATTAGTGCTTTGCAAAATTGAAGTCTTAATTTTATATAATTAAAAGTTTTAATGAACGTAATCATGAACCGATGAACGATGAACCATTACCAGAAAATATTTAACTAGAAAAACTTAGTAATCATTTAAAACGAAAAACAGTTAATGACATGTTTACTATAAATCACCAAAAATTATACATTCTGAATTGAAAAATGGTAATATTGTAAATATAACTACTGCAGATATTTTATTAATTATTAAAATATCCATAATGCTCTATCTTCAAAATTATGCAAATCATTTACTTAATTAACACAAATTCATGACTTTTTAAAAAATATGGAATTTAAGACAATTAAAGGTGAAGACTTTTTGTTAGTGAATAATAATGAAACAAATATATTAGGTTTCTCGACATTTCGTAATTTATAAGTTTTATTATACAGTTTGAACATGGATGTATAAAAAAAAAGTGGAATAATTGGAAACTAAAAAAATTACTTAAATTGAATTTTTAAGGCAACTACCATTCAAATTTTTACCTAATTCAATATAATTTTTATAAGTTTTAAATTATAAATTATAATTAATTAATTAATTAATTAATTGAAACATGCAATTTAAAATTTAAATAGTAATAAATAATTAATATAAAATGTATAAAAAATTTAAAAATCAATATTTTTAACCATACCAATAACCAACCATAACAGTAATGTTGACACCTAAGTCTGTGAAAATGGAAAGGCTAATATTAATTGAAAATTTATAACATAAAAAAACTTTAAAATTTTAATATAATAAAATAACCGAGACGTACCTGATTTACGTCTAAACTAGAAATACTCGGGACGCAATTTACATCTAAACAAGGAATACTAAGAACGCAATTTATATTAAAATGGTACATTGGGGCGTAACTTACTGCAGTCACCCATTACATATCGACCTTACTCGAGTCGTCATACGTCATAACAATGTCTGGTAGTTTCCTTCGCCTACTCGATCTGTTTCGAACGCTGTCGTCTAGGATTTCTTGGATTTCGAGGAACGTCTTGTTGGTCGTCTCTATTGCGTACTTATGCAAAAAATATGCACAGGCAAAGTTGACGGCGGAGAACGTCCAGAACATAGTGTAGTAGCCGTAATTGTGTGAGACGATGAGGAACGTCTTGTTGGACAAGAACGAGAAAAAGGCGAGAGTGACGGACGCAAACGCCGAGCACCGGGACCGAACATTAACCGGGAACATCTCACCGAGGAACACCACGGGTATGAAGCCGATACCGATAGAAAACGTGGCGGCAAATGTGGTGTGGCATACATACGGCAGCCATCGGAACGCCGCGGCGGTATCGGCAAAGTATTCGGCGGCGAAGTAGTAGACGCCAAAGAAGAATGTGACCACTCCCAAGCCCGACACGGAACCGATCAGCAGTGGCTTCCGACCTACCCGGTCGACCATGGCCAGCCCGACGAAGTTTACTATCACCAGGACGATGGCGAACGCGATTATGAACTCGAACTTGCCCAGGACTGGTGACGGTTCGGGTAGTATGAGCGCGGAGTACGCGGTCAGGCTGCTGATGCCACCCGCACGTTGTCCTGCGCATGCCACAACCACCACGGCCAGCGCACGGAAGTTGTTCCGGTTGGTGAACAACTCGCTGAACGCCGACCCGTTTTCCATGTCCTTCCGCACGTTCATCTCCATTAGCTGGAGCTCCGCGGCCACGGTGGCATTTACATCGTCACTCCCACTTCCGGCATCACAACCTCTATACCAACGCAAGCACCGGGCCGCGTCGGCCGCCTTGCCCACTTTGAGCAGGTAGTACGGCGACTCGCGCACCCAGAGGAAAGCGATGAAGAACAGCACGGGCACCACAGCAGACGTGGCGTTGAGCGTATGGTAAGACACGTAAGGGCCGATGATCACTTCGAACAGCACGCCGCCACTGAGCTGTATGGTGAACACGCTGCCCAGGGCGCCGCGGATGTCCACACCCGCAATCTCGCCCAGAAACACCGGCACCACCGTGTATGAGATGCCCTTGCCCAGGCCCGCCATCAGCCTGGCCGTGTACAGAGCGACCGTAGTGGGCACGAACAGTGTCAGCGACCAGGAGACGATAAACAGCGGGCCAAGCGCGGCGATCACCTTCTTCCGGCCAAATCGGTCCATCAGGTAACCACCGAACAGTGGGCTGATGAAGTTTCCCAGGTCCATCATACACACGATCCATGACAGTTCGTCAAAGTTCACGTGCAATTTTCCCGTCTGGTGCTTAATGAACTTCTCGGACGCCGAGCTGGGCCACCCCAGCCACATACCACTGATGAATATCGACATGGACGCTATTACATATAACATAATAGCATAATTTTAATGAGTATGTCTTAAGCATATTATGGAGAAAGCACAAAATATTATAGGTTATATACTAATTTAAACTTATTTAAGAGCACATGCTCACGTTCCATTCATTTTGACATCTGATCGTTTGAATTATGATACATTGATATTATGTAAGAACACTGATTTTTACAATATAATAATTAGTTAAAGAAAATGTGTCTGACAATAAATGTATTCATTTATTTATGTGTTGATCATTCTTTGTTTAAATATTAAATCTAATTTCGTTCAAATTTTAATTTAAAATGCGTATCTATAAAAAAAAGTAATACCTAATACTTTACCATTATTATAAGAAAAACTTATGCAAGATCTTTTATTAAATTTAAAATTTTTGCTCAAGTGAAATATTTTACTGTAGTATAGTATCTATACAAAATCCGTTTGCTCGTTTGCAGTTGTTAATTCTAACTAGACAACATACAACGTTTAAAAAACTAAACAAGTTAATCATAAAAAGTAATTAAATGCCTAATCTTAAGCATTTAAAAAATATTTATTCACTAAATTAATTGAATTAGAACTAATCTAATACCTCATACAAAAGAAACTTTATTTTGATATTTACAATATATCGATTTTTATTAGAAAAAAGGCCAAAGGGGTTAAGATGATCTGTACTTAAAATAATTAGGTGGTTTAGTATCCTAAAGCACTCGTTCTCTGATTTTCACTTATATAATTGAATTAAACAAAAAAAAAAAAAAAAAAAAACAGATTTGTCAAATATTGATTTAACGTAAAAATTCCCGTTTTCCTTAATTTTTTCCTTTTTGAAATTATTTTTAGAAGTACAAGAAACTTTTTACTGTCAACCTCCAAAAATATCAACTAGATTCAAATTTCTACAAAAAACCACCCTTAACGTTGAAAATTGAAGAAATTTTACTTTTCCAATATAATGTCTTCACAAAAATAAAAATACATCATTGTAAATAATAAATAGAATAACAAATAAAATAATTACTCTGCTCAGAATCTAACTTAAAACGAACTATGTATTTGTTATCATACTGTTACATTCATTTTTTGATTGATTAATTTAGTTTAACGATATAACTACATAATAATAACATGCACATGTACATTATACATATTTAATTACATCAATTTTTTTTAATACAATAATACAATATACTATGGTTTGTCAAGCATAAAAGAGTCAAATTAGTAAACACGTTTACATTAAAATATAATTTTTAATTCATGTCCAAAAGTTTTAGATACTGTTGAAAATTTTTAATTGAGAATATCAAGAGTTGAGATCTAAATATTGTTACACTTTCTGCACCGTGTATATCTACATTAAATTATATTTGTAACTCAATTTAAGTTTTTAAACTAAAAAACGCAAATATAATTTAATCCGTAAGCTTTATAAAAATGATTTGTAAATAATTAATTTTGTTAATTTAAAAAATAGCGTTATTTATTGTTGTATGTATAAATCACATTGTCTCATAAAATATTTATACGACATCTATCATCTATTTATTTTTTAACAAGTGTCAAGACGTATTATAAGGTAATAAAGATTAAAGAAGAATTATACCTACTTTCCGATCAGGTATTTATTACAACTGCTGATGACCTAGTTTTTGTACTGGATGAAAATTAAATTAAATTCAAATAAAATTAGAATATTAATTATAAAATCTGTAACGATTAAAATAAAATATAATATCAATTAATTTGTGTCATGAAATTTAAAACAAACTTGCAATGATGAGTATAATTAAAGCCACTATGAATATAGCGCTCTAAAAATCGTTTTCTTTAATATTATTGTTAATGCGAAAATAAGGTTTTTATTAATACGTAATATGTGTGTATGGTATATTAATGTTTAAAATATAATATAAGCAGCTATGAAAAAAAATATAAACGTTTTAAGGTATTTATATGTAAATACCTCAATTTATGATGTATAAAAGATGGTCACAACTCATAAGTGTATGAAAAAATATTTAAGTGAAATTCAAGTCCTCTTAAAGGCTTGATTATGCCAATATTTGTTCAATTATACCTATATAGTTGAATAAAATACCAAGGGATTATCGAGTTTATGCTGTATAACAATAACCTATATTATACATTTATATAATATTTACAATAGTATTCAGTTATTTAAAATATCACCTATATCTCCCTAGTCACAATTGAAACTATCAGGTTTTAGTATAAATAGATATAGTTGCCTTAAATCAAATTAATAAAGTCCACTCTTTTTTAAAATATGTGAAATATGTTTATAATGAAGTTATTATACCTTTTTATGAAATCCAGCAACATGATCGCATAATTGTATATTATGAACTGTTTATCCAAGTAGACCTTTTTCGGTTCGATGACTTTTCTTTCATGTCATAATAAAAAGTTGATGAAATGTTTTTACCCACATTGTTAACATATTATTATGAGACGAAAGTCATTAATCATTATATAACAATAAATTCCACAACGTTGTAATTGGTAACGATAAGTCATAAGTATACAATTATTTTTAATATATATTTTAATTGTTTGGTATATTTATAATTTTATAGAGCAACACATTTAATTCATATGCATTTAGTAATATCATTGATTATAAATACTATTTATAATCAATGGTAATGCTGTATGGAGTTATATATTTAAAGTATATTGATGTTCACCATACGTGAATTTATGATCGGTTATCATAAAACTCATAAGTCATAACCTAGTGTTCTATATTCTAGTTACATAATATACTGTATTCGTCTAATAATATTAGTAATAAGACTCGTATATTAAGTACTCATTTTGATGTCAAATTATAAAAATTGTATTTTTTCTAAGAAAAAAAAAGTTATTTTGTAATAGAAACTTCATTTTTTGTTTAATCAATAAAAAAAAATTAAGGGTGGCTTTTTTACAGCTTAGGGGTGCCACTGAATTAATATGATAGGCAAGCTACTAGTTTTAAAAAAAAATTAACAAACTTTAAATTTTGATGAAAGCTTCACTATAATGGGTAGATCTATTTTTATGGATTATCATAAAACTTCATGTTGTAGGAAAGTGCTTTTAGGTATCGTTTAGATAAATGAAATCAGCTTTAATTTTATGTCCAATATTATAAATCCCGGTTTTAACAAGTATACAAATCTTAACCTGCAGCTTTAGCATGGTAAATGTTTATTAATTATTAATTATTATTATAACATTTTAATTTTTTTTTTTTTTTAATGTTTGGCTATTCAAAAACGTCAACGTCATCAACATCAGATATAGCTTCAATCATCATCGGAGTACCTTAAGAAGCTATTTTCTCACCCATACTCTTTAAAATATATACATACTTCTGATCAACTCACAACTCCAAGTACACAATTTCCGACTATGCAGATGATAAAGTAATTTTACCTTCATAACAACCCAATTAAAACTTTAAATTAAATCACAATAAATATATCAATATAATGTTTACCATTAGATAGGGTCTTTGTCCAAATGTTTCAGTCAATAATAAACCTATCCAATTCCTCAATGCTGTTAAATATTTAGGATTAATTCTCGACCAAAAATTAACTTGGAACAAGCATATAAAAGCTAAAAAATTAAAAACGTAATTATTGAAAAATAAATTTACTAGTTTAAAAACCAAACTATTAATATACAAAATTTTCCTAAGGCCTATATTTATGTGTACATATAGGTTACAACTCTGGGAATCGGCTAAAAAATCAAACATAAACAAAATCCAAGTCTTTCAAAATTTTACGATTAGAAAAATCACTAACGCTTCCTTCTGTGTCTCTAATCGAACTTTCCATCAAGGTCTATATTGTATCAAACCTGTTATAGACGAGTGCAATTATTCTACAAACGATTCTTTTTTAGACTAGAAAATTACCCCAACCCACTAAAAGAGTAACATAATATTTTCACAATTCCTGGAAATCCATAATGTTGACTAAAAAAAAAAAAAAAAAATGGTGTGACAATTTAAATTAAAAATATCTTACCCTAATTACCCCAATATAAAACACTAAGTTAATGTCACTAATAGGTGGCTTCTTATACAAGTAATTCATGTTATGTGTAGCCTCATTTGTTATATGCATTAAATTGTATAGATTGTGTTTATTCTATTGTGAAATATTAAAAAAAAAAATGTTTTGACAATTTTTTTGATATTTTTATTTAAATTTTTACTTATAATTTTATAAATATGTTTTGTTGTTTTGTGCTAAAAAAATAAAAACTAATTATAACTATCATCTAGAATATATTTATTTCATGTATAAACACGTATTTATGTATAACTACTCGTTTAATACGTCGTGTGCTCTTACCGGCTATAGTGGCGTAAATTTGTCTATGAACTCCTGATTTCAGCATCTTTAAAAGTTTTTCGATTCTTCTTTGTCAAATGTTTAATTTGTTGTACTTTGTATAAATTATTATTTTACCTGTAACAAAAAATGTAATTAAATCATTAAATCAATCAAATTAAGTTATGTGCGTTTTATAATTATTTTACTCAAATCTTTTACAAATTAAAACGTTCAGGAAGTCCATAATAATTAATTAAATACAGTTATTATACTTAATACAACAGGGGTAGCCAACTTGCGGCTCTCATCATTATTAGATGCGGATTGCATCTTATTTATAAAATCAAAATTTACATATTATTATCATGAATATTATTATTTAGTAATATTTAAAAAAAATTATAAAATTATATAAAATATATTAATGAATATTTTGGTTCTTGGTATCATTGTATTTATCCATATGGCTCACTTACATATTCATATTTGCCACCCCTGAAACATAAATAGTAATAATGACTATATTTATATTTATCTTTTATTTTTTGATATTCCAACCAAAAGTTATGACATCTCAACAGTTATTTTCTAATCTATGAGGAAAATGAATAATAATGATAATAAACATTAGTATAATAGGGTTGAAATAGAAGATGTATGTATGGAAATTAGTAAAAATAATATAGTAGCAAGTTCGTAATAGATTTAGATTCTTCCTGAAATTGGGCGATTGCATGATTTCCAATTAAGCTGATGATGATATTGATTATGGTCTATGACTTTTGCCCACAATAATTGTTTACTATATTTGGGAAGCAGAATTATACATAAGCGATAGGTACGGAAAAAATAGGAAAAAGACGATAATTATATATTTTATAACAATTGATGTGAAAGTTTTGTAAAAAGGTTATCCTTTGTAGGAGGCTGGCCTAAGCATACACCATACTTGGCAAGACTTTGTAATGATTTCATGCATTTGGTAGACCAATAATCATTTATTAGGTTATTACGCATTACATAGTATACAATATTTGTTTTATCAATACATGTATAATTGTTACTGTTTGTGTCGAGTGTGTATTTTATTCGTACAATTTTCGTTATAATAATTAAACTAGTTTTAATTATTTGTTTCGAATCAACATGATAATAACACGTCTTCTTTAAAATATTCATATAAAATCTAAATGCAAATATGGTGCAATAACTAGTGATAACGGTTTATGTATTAAAATAAGTAGTCAATAATATTGATTGCCTCAAATGTACATACAGACTTTTACAGTGCTGGCCTAAGATATTACAGCAACCTGGAAAACTAAAAGGCACTCTTAAAAATATTCTTTGTATACTTAATATTTACTTTTATTCACTTATATTTTGTTCAAAACTAGCTACCTATGTGTATAGAGTGTAAGATACAATAATTTTGATACAGCTACACAAGTATTATTAAATATGTTATTATTATTATTATTAATTAAATAAAATGTACAATATAATTACTATAATAGGTAGATGATACATATTTGTCACAAATTTTTTCTTAATTTTAAATCTTAATTCTTAATTAGATTTTGAGATCTAATTTAATGACTTTACCATGATAAAATTTCTATTGTGTACCGTAAATAAATTGTTTGAAGAATCTTGAAATACTAAATTATGTTTTCAAGAAAAACTACAATTTAAATTAACCGCTTTAAAACTTTTTTCCAATGTCTCCTTTCAGAAACTATCTGTTTTGTAAGTTTGTATCGATTGATTTATTAGTTTTATGTCTTAAATTTGTTTCCAACCATAAATTAGCACATTTTATATGGTGAGGCGAATTTTCATGTGTTTTTAAATATTCGTGTGTTTGTTTCCAGTCGTTTAATCTATTTTTTACTAAACTACATCGGCTCATAGGATCAAAAATTTTACAAAAAAAAAAAAAACAAAATACCTACTGCATAAACAGTTTTGAATTATTATACACTAGTCTTGTGAGTTTTTATTAAATTTAAAAAATGAAGACATTTTTGAATATTTTTCTAATTCTAATAGCTTTTTGAGTTTTCATTTACGATTTTGGTGACCGCTAATTTTGTATTTGTATGTTTGAAAAACATGAACATTTATAATCTATTCTATAATACGACTATAAATAAATTTAGTTTATTATACAACTCAAATAACTCAACCGAGTATGATCATATATTAATATATAAACTATGAACCTATGTCCATATATGAAAATTTTGGTTAATATTATATCGAGGGTAGAGGGTTAAATATTCTGTATCATATGCTATATAGAACTACACAATAGAGAAATTTAGTCCCTACAGTGGCCCACACCCCCGACAAATTTACCAATACAAATTTTCTTAACGGAAATACTAGATAAATACAAATATAAAATATTTATTTAATTATAATTTATAAATATCAATAATATTTAATGTATTATTTACTGTTGAGACAAATAATTATAAAATAATACAATTATTACTATTGTGTCTTAAAATAAAAATTATACACACAATTATCAAGAAAACAAAAAATATTATTTTGAAACTCTGATTCTCCAACGATCTTCATAAATGTTTATTTTAACGTTTTTAACATCGTTTACTTTTGTTATTAATATTATTAAAAAACCATTAATGTCTTTAACTCGATGGTACTAATTTTAAGGGATTTTTTAAGTAGGTTTTGATTATGTTTAAATACTCACGTAATATTAGTAATTATAAAATAATTTGATCCAAAGTCCGATCTTGATAAATGAAAAAACTTCATACGATATTTAACAACAGTTGAATAGTTACAATAAGATAAACTAATTTTCCGTTAGACATAAATGCGTAAATGCGTAAAAAAAAGGCTTAGAGAATATATCCATGTTCTGTCAAACAGGCCGGTTGGCTACTATATTATAATAATATTGTTTAAAATGATGTTCGATGTACAGAATTTATTTCCCCACTGTAATATTTCGAGCTAATTGTTTTTATTAATCATCAATACTATATTATTAAAAACAACAATATAATTATTATACAGACATAAATATGTAGTTATTTTTAAATACGATTTATATTTTAGTTTCAGATTACATAGCATTTTAATACATAATTATTAACTATTAAAAATTTAAAATAATTAAACAATTAAATTTAACATTAATATTATGTATAATGTGTACGTTAGTACGTATACAAATTAACGTTTTATCGACTTATTAGATCCTGATTAGTATATTATTTATGTATATTATATTATTTTGTTGGTATCTTATTTTATACGATTACAAAGTTTTAAATCTTATATAGGTACCTGAATCTCCCACTCACAATTATTTTAAAATTTAATGTATTTAAAAAAAATATTACATTACTTATTATAGCGCTTAAATATTAACATTTACAAAATCATAATATTGGTTATCTAAAGTCGAATTCACTATTTTAGAAATAAGATATTATCTTAGAAAATTTAAATAGAAGATATGACTAATTGTTTCCGCATTAACTTAAATATCGATATCAATTATCAATATAAGATTTAGTCAAAAGTTATCAACTGCCACGAGACGTATTGTTTTACAGATCATAGAATACGTGCGTATTTGTAAAGAATGTAAATCAACTATTTAACCAACAAATAAATAAATATTTTTTAATTTTAAAATGTTGTAAATATTATTAAAATAATAATATCACTTCAAAATTAATTTTTTTAATTGATTTTATAAATACGTTGAAAACTGTGTAGTAATATAAATATAGTTAAATCAAAATTATTAGGAGCTACTACCTACTGAATAATAACTCATTAAAAAATAAATATACACAGACTAATCATTAACTGTGTAAATTGAAAGCTACAGAAACAATAATTTTAAACTCATATTTATTAATAATTATTGTTTAATATTAATTTTTGCAGGTAACACTCATAATAAAATATTTCTATACGACACTGAAAACATACAGCAATATCGAACATATGAAATGGCGTTTTAGCTTTTTGGCACCCCTAGACTAAATTATTCTGGTGCTCCTCTTCACCTCACGGTATCAAAGAGTCTATAATATTTAGTCTGAACATTTCCCTGAAAATTTTTGTAATCATAAAAATTAATATTAAATCTTAAAAATAAACAACTATTAAAAGTAATATTATATTTCAGGCTTAATAATTTTCTTTAATTGTCAATATGATTTTCATATAGTTCCGTGATGAAAATTTAAATAGTAAAAATAAACCTAGAATCATAGAAAACATAAATAATATCAATAAAAAAAATCATACAATAAAAACCTTGAAATTTATTAAATTATACCTTTTTTTTACCGTTTCATTTGTAAAAACACTTTTTTTGTTAAAATACCTAAATTAAAATATTATAAAATTATTTTTTGTTTCGAGAAAGTTTTTATGATGTCTGCATAATCTATGTCTATTGTAATTTGATTTTCAATACATAATATTGCTAAACCATTAATTAATCTTTAATCACTCATTGCGCCGGTCTTAAATAATTTTTAATACTCTTGAGGCACGAAAATTATCTTTAGGCCAAACAATTAGTTACTAGTGTACAAACAAAAATTCTTGAAACAATTTCTACATTTGGATAATAATGATAATATACAAAAATATGTTTTAAGTTTATTTTCAAAAATTAATTTTATTGATTTTAAAAGATACTCTGATTTTGGACAAAATTTATTTAAGTAAATAATCTTTTAAATGTGTACGATTTATTTTTATTTTTACTTCTGTAATGTCGCTAATACTGACGACAACGACAATCATTCTTATCATTCGACTGATTATATCTCGCGTCTGATTATTATTATTATTATTATTATTATTATTATTATTATTATTATAATACAATTGTTAGTGAATAGTATTGTTAGTATTTAAGTTTTAGTTTTGTATCTGTTCATGAATCTAACAGGATAACATTTATAATAATGCATGGAAATAAAACAGTTAACATTCTTCTGAATGCCATAGTGTAAAATGTATTCTTATCTTACAATAATTAAGCCATCCTTGCCGTAGTCGCATACAAATTTTGTTATAATTTAGTTGCAAGTCTTCATAATCAAAATCATTTAGATATATTTTCCAGAGGTTGCTTGATTTTTGTTTTATCTCAGACGGATTAAATTCAAATAATCTTGTCAAGAAAAAAAAAGGTTTACAAACTTTACGTTTTTTTAATAGTTTATTTTTTAGTAGGTACATCAAGAATTACCATAAATAATTGAAACCATGTAGATATGACAAAGTGATCACGAGTCATTTCATTACACATCCAAAACGTAGAGGTTATATTGAAAAATATTTTGTTATCTTTGTAATTCTTATAATTTAATTCAAAAACATCGTTGCACACAGAAATACATTTTTAACATCATTCACATTATCAACTATTTTTTCAACAATGTTTGAATTTTTAAATATATTAATGGCAGTATTATAATTGTCTTCATCTACTCTATCAACTGATTTTTCAAAAAAAAAAAAAAAAAATGTTTAAACTTTCAGAAGTACTATTATCAATATCACTTATATTATCGATTATTCGTTTAAAAAATTTTGAATCATTTTTAGATATGTCATTTTTATTTTACTTATCTGTTCAGAAGTATTTAAATTCGCAGAAGGAATTTTACTCAAGTCATTTACATAAGTCAGATTTTTGAATATATTTGAATATTTTTATTGCTAGAAGTAAAAAACGAATCCAATTTTTTTGTAATTCATTTTTTTCATGTTTGTTTTAAGTACCACTTGTTAAGTTTTTTCATATTATTTATGCAATATTACTTTCAAAACTCCAAAACTAAATTTAAAAAAAAAAAAAAACAATTGATTTAAAATTTAGATTTAACTATATATAGGTACCTAACTTAACCTCACAGGCTTTATTGATAGGTATTTTCAACTGAGTTATAGCTATATAAAATATTAAAACTTTAAAGTGCTCATAACTCACTTTAAAATTATAATATCAATAAACGCTTTTGTAATGGTCTAGATAAAATTCTTACTATTAAGTTTGATATAATAGGTAAATTTACTCTAATATTAAATATGAAATAAATTCTGTTGAACAAAAATTTTCTATGTTGTATATATGTAAGACTGATATAACACTTGTAGTCGGTGCGTCCTATTGAGGTAGCAGGGCTCCATAGGTATTAAAATATAAAATAATAAAATAGTACGTAATCCTATAAAATATGTAAAAGTAAAGTAGGTTGTTTACAATTTTTAGTAATATAACTGAAATACGTATTTAAATTATAATTTTTTTTTTTTTTTTTTTTTTATTAAAATATATTTAAAACAAAAAGTAATAGTTAACAAAAAAAATTTTATCATAATTAGCACATGCATAATTTGTGGAGGAAGTTCTTCATTAACAACACTTTAGAAATTATAATTTATGGGCAATTTTCTTTAATATTTAATATTATTTATTATTTTTACTATTTTTGAACTATAAGGAAGAATAAGTTGAAGTTATTTCCGTACGCCGTTGCATTTATGAAGCTAAATAAATATTAAAGTAACAAATATCATAAGCATAATAATATGGTTTGTTCAATAAAATAGTGCCTATAATATGTATATTATTAAAATCATTTATTTTACTAGACCAATTGATATTTTAGTATTTGACTATATATTATTGTATTAACTTCACAATTCGAATGTTTGAAAATGTGTTGCTCATTTTATGAGTATTTAGGGTAAATTTAGATACATTTTATTGTAGATTATTAGTTATATTTTTCTATTTTATCTAAAGTATCGTTTAACGAATAGTATAACATTTATCAATTTATAAAGATCGTAAATAATAAAAATATCACGTTCTTTTAAGGAAGTATATAGAAATTATTTATTATAGGCACGGAATATACTAATATATTAGCTGATTCCGGACAGCATTGCCTGTAAAAAATAATGCCAATAAATTTACTCTGTCTTAAAATTATATACAATTATAATTACTATTACAGAGTATATATGCTAAGTTTCAAAAAAAATCTTACCAAAAAAAAGTTTTTTTTTCATTTTTACCCCTTTTTATACCTTTAATCACCTTAGGGCATGAATTTTGGAGTATACTTTCTTAGTGGACCTCTATATTATAAAAAAAAAAAAACTACTGACCAAATTTAATACTCATAGCTTGAGTTCTAGCTAAGCAATGATGAATCATTAAGTCAGAATATGTTATTTTGTACATTATAAAGATGCTAGATAAAAAATGTATTTAATGCATGAGTTTCTGTACCTTTGTAATTTAAACTAATTAATTAATGTTTAATACATTAATATATTAATTTAAGAGTGAAGAAAATATTATGGTCACAACCTTTATATTTCGAAAGGAATAATACTCGAAGCAAATAGTAGAAATTAAGTATTTGAATATTTGAATTAATTAATTTTAGTGGTATCTTCACAATGTGTTTATGTGGTTGATAGTAATTTCTTTAAAACTAAAAATAAATATTTTTTTATTCTGCACTGAAAAAAAAACCTTGGTAACATTGATAAAAAAATAGATTCGATCAACAAAATATTTGTCACTATTCAGCTTACAAACAGATTTGTTCAGCTAACAAAATTAAATTGTCAATATATAATCATGTTTTGTAAAATGACAAATATTTTATTATTTTGAATAAACTTACATTATTGATTTATATTATAATATTTTTATGAATAATATAATTTTAATAAAATATTTCATGAATACAATACACTATTTGATTAATACAATTAAATATTCGATAAACAAATCATAAAAAATTTATAATCAAGACTATTAATTTTATTATTTCAATAAAATGCATATGTTGATAAAATAATCTGTTTCAATGAAACAAAATTGGTATATAATTTCAATAAAATGTTCTGATCGTATTATCAACTAAAATTATTAATGTAGTATTAAAAAAATAATATGCAAATTATAAATATATTTAGATATATGTAGAAATTGAAAAAAATTAGTACATTTAATACATTTTCTTATTTAGAAAGTATTTTAAAATCTTATTAGACATAAATAAACATAAATATATAGGTAAAAAAATGTAGATATAGGTAGGTATATAAATATATAATAACATAATGAAGTTTACATAAAGTACCTATATAATAATTAAAATAAGTAATAGATTTAATATATCTACACAATGTAATTAAATTATGTATTCTGCAAGCACACTACTAAATTACACAAACTAGAATTTTTACAAGTATAATACATATTACTATTATACTTTATAATTTATTAATTTTTCATGGATATAAATGATATAATACTTAAAAATGTCCACTATCACTTTTTGTCTAATATACACGTATACATTTGAACAACTTTAAAAAGATTCAAGAAAAAAACCTATAAAACACGTTGAAAAGGAATAGAAATATCTTATTTTTGGATATCCGGACACAGTGGAATACACGGAAATGAAAAAACAGATATAGAAGCATTCAGAGCCATCTCCTCCACAAACACCCAACTCTTCTACGCTTATATAAAGAAACACATCTAGATGATTCTACGTCTCAAATGACAAAACAACTGAATAAAATAAAACATCAAATTAAATACCATAAAAAACAATATTCATAATTGAAAAACCTGAGCCTCAACAGGAAAGATGAAACCATTTTGAATCGCCTCTAAATAGGACATATATTTATAATATACAATCATTCCATGGCCAGAAACGATCCCCTTTTATGCGAATAAACAACATAGTCAAACACATATTAACAAAATGCCTCAAGTTTGAAGAATCAAGAAACAACCACTACATATCTCATACTCTAGGAGAAGCCCTACAACCTGACCTTCAATCAAATAAAAACATTATTAACTTCTTAAAAGAAATCAAATTATACAACCTTATACAAGTCTTAATTTATTTCTACTCTGATTCAAATGTAAATACAATGTAAAATATAAACTAATAACTTAAAAGCTGATGTACAAATGTTCAATAAAAAAAATAATTTAGGAAATTTACACTATATAATTTAAAGTATGCAGGTACCTACTTAATATGACTAGGATTGGTTTGTATCTGTTTCATACTTAAACACTGTTACAAATGTGAATTTAAATTTGATGCATTACCGCATTGTACGCCACAGAACATTTCCACGAACGATAAAAAACTATTTTTTGTCTAGTATCGAAACATTTTCATTTATTTAAAATTCAATACTTTTCCAAATGTAATTTCTAACCCCTAATACGTAAAAGCACTAATTTTATATCACTAGAATTTATATTTTTCAGTAAAACTTTTGAACATTAGGTACAAACGAAAAACACAGATGCACTGAAGTGGAATATTAGTTTATGCTATAAACTTTAAATGTTATTGAATATTTATTTTTTAATCCAGTAATCTTTAATAGGCCTTAAAATATAAGCCATATAATTTTAATGCACGCACATTATAAGTAAGTGAGAAGATAAGGTCTTAATTCTATATTTGCCTTACTCTCTAAGCCATAGAGCTTAATAAAAAAATTATTTATAAATTCGACATCATTGGCCATTGTTACAACCTATTACTTTTTATACAACATAAATATACATTTTTTTTAATTCAATAAGTAGGTTAATACTAGTATCTAACACTATTATGTGAAAATTTAAGCTACGTTAAAATGTTAATTATGTATATTATGTATATATTTAATGCAAATGTGTAATACTACTAACTGCAGTACTATAGAAATCATTTTTTTTTTTAAGTTATATATATATTTATAGTGGTTCTAAATTGTCACCAGTTATAACTGTCGTGTTATTCAACTCTATAAACTCTATTAACGACTTAAAAAAATAGAAAAAATTAAATAACCTAAAATTAACATATTTAAGACTAAGAATTTTCATGAAACGGAAGTAAAGACAACATGGCGAATCGAATTACCATACTGGTGCGTTCTGGTCCATTTTGATTAACCTAACCTATTTAAAAAAAAATAAATATTTTGTATTAATATTTATTTTCAAAACGTCTCCACATTGTAAATTTCCACATCTCATCACTATTTTATAAAATAAATCATGCAGATAAGCTTACAAAATGTATAAAATATTGATCAAATTATTAGATAGTACTAATATAATTATCCTTTTTATTTCACCATAACTAAATTCTCAATATAAGATTATTCAACGATAGAGTAATGAGTAATAAAAGAAAATACATTTATTTTATTAAAATATTTGGTTTCAATAAAATATAAATACTTAACCAGCGTTCAATTTTTTTATCTTCATACCTGGTGCGTATAGTGTACAATAATCATAACCAAACATAATATAATTATCGTACTAAACTTCTACGATACATTGTCACCAAGAATTACGACCTTGACACTTTCTCGCATTCTATGACCGTCGAATAAAATCTTACCTATCGCCTCTTATCCAAGGATTCTTAAGTGTTAATATAAAATTTATAAAAATATACACATGTTCCGCATACAATTATTTACAGTTATCGGACTCAGATTAGACTTGTAGCGCCAGACTCGATATGATATTGTATATGCGACTCTGACAATTCATTACAATAATATAATATGATCCAACTGCTGAGTCATCAAAAATATCATTGTATATATAGAAAATAATGACGTTGATATTATAGGTATCATAATGAAAAGTTTAAAAAATCTCCAATATTAATATATTTTAATTACAACATTTAATAGCTAAATTTGTTAATTGTGCTCCGTTTAATTATTCAATTTCATCAAAAATAATACTTCAAATGTTTTAAAATAAAAAAACTAAACTCGTGCTTATTTATTTTTAACATATTTTTATTGCTAGAATATACATTTATGAATTATCTTCATGTTACATTTTCAATCCTACCTATTTAAATTGAAAATTTTATAATTTTTTAACTATTTATAAGATAATTTCAAATGTTCGGGATTTTGTTCAAATTTGAAACTTGTTCGTTTATAAATAAAGATATTTTTATATTGCTATAAAAACAATATATGAGTAATTTTATTGTATTTTCAAAATTTGTAACTATTATAACAAAAAAAAAAAATTTAACATTCATAAATCGAAAAAGTATGTCTAAAATGGACCAAAATATTATCATAACTAGAAAATGCTGTATTATAAATAAATATTTGGTGGAAATTCAACTCCCAATAGGATAATTAATGGTTTTTAATTTTTGAATAATAATTCGATAATAAAAACGATTTTGTCCAAAACTGGTTTGCGTAAACATTTATTTCCGTTTCTCAATACCTATATAAAATATTTTTTGATTTTTTTTCAATTTAAAATGTTTTTCTTTATTGTTGACCCGAAGAATCAAATAGACCAAATTTTCTATAAAAAATTCATAAAATATAATTTATAGGTAATCCAAGCATAACGTACGTTTTTGATAAATCAATTATTATTGAAAAATTGGTCATTTAATTTGTATATAAATATATAGTACCTACATATATATTTTAGTATGAATATTAAGCCATGTATATGTTATGTTATGGGAAAAGTATAAAATTCTTAATGTTTGTAGTGGATAGTTATAATGTAAAATAACCATTAACCACATAATATGGACCGGGAATTTTTTTATGATGACGCCTGAAATCTATCAGCCAAAATTAAGTATGAAGTTATGTCCTACATTTTGTTTTAAAATAACTAAAAAAAAAAGAGGATAAAAGGAGGTAACCGCTCTAATGAACAATTATCGGTGTCCAGTGTACCTCGTCATTGAGGAGTAAATTACCTACTAATTACTACAATGTATGTGTTGAGTATGATTCCAATGATTAATCATTACATATGAAAAACGATTTTGAGGGAATACAGTCATCAACATCATATATTAGTAAGTATCTGCTTATATTTACATTAATATTAAAGTGATTTATTTTATTATTATTAATACAGAAGATTGAATAAGTTTTGGACGAAAATATTAAATTTTAAAATTTTATTATTGTGAATATAAAATATATTAATATAGGTTAATAAATTCAAGAACCCGAGAATAATATTTTTAAATTATAAAAAAATATAAAAAATCAATTGAGGAGGATTTTTTTTACAAGTGAATAATAAATTAAAAAATTTAAACTTAAAACGCTCATAAAAAATTAATGTGACATTTTGGAAGAAATACTTTTAAGGAATCTCATATTAAAAGAAAATTATTTATGAATTTGTAACCACTAAATAATTTTTCAAATTTCCACATTAAAAAATTTTTTCAAAATTTTAATTTTAAAAGAATATAAAAACATATGACTATCTATATGTATAAATAATATATTTTAATTTGTAAATTTACACCGTATGTGAAACTTTATGTTTTTTAAATAAATGGAAAAATGTATAGAACCATTTGATGAAAATTTTAAATTAATAGTATTTAAATTTCTGTTTTTCATCGATTATTTTTATTTTTCAAGGTTATTTTAATAAATTTTAAGAACTTTTTACTTTTGACTTTTTAAATTTTTAAGCATAAACTTAATTCAATTTTTACCAGAAACTACTTTCAACACTAACAATTAAAGTATTTTTACTGCCCCAAAAAGTAATGACTGATACAAAAATAAAAATTATTAAAATACATAGGTATATAATTATATGTAAAATCATGAAATTCATGATTTATCACCCCCTCCCCTCTTAACCTTCTTAATTTAAAATATGTCCACATGACATATCTGTAATAAATAATAAAAATAATGATAAAATAATTTTGTTTTTATGAATAATATACTTATACCTACCCCACCTCAACAATTTGCTGATAAACTGATCACAATAAAACTGGCCGATGAAAAACCAAAATTAGTAGAATCATTTCGATCGTGAGTACTCGCGGTATAAATTGGATTTTTTCCTCAGTTAATTGTTCGTTTGATAATTTGTTAATTTTGTTTAGTATTTATTTTTTATAAATTCCTATTCGATTTTGCACAATATAATTATAATAATAGTTACATACTTATCCGGCACACTTATAAGTGCAGCAGATTATTTACAGCGATTACAGATCACTACTGCAGCAATCATCAGTAAGACAAATTATATCTATTTTTTTATTAATAAAAGTATAATTTACTTACAAATTATGATTAAGGTTATTAATTAAATTTTTCCTAAGTTTTTTCAATTGATTGATTTATTGTATTAAACTGTTGATCGTCAATTGTCATCGATGTTATTATTTGTTTACGACAATAAAATTGATCGTATGACAACATTCAGATAATACGTATTATATTATATACATATTAATATATTAAAGGACAATTAATATATATGTTAACAATAAAATAAAAAGTTTTGATGGTAAAATGATTTACTATATTTTAACAGAAAAAAAAAACTTATTTTTTAACTAAACCTAATTATTATAAATGTCTATGAGTAAGAATTTATGATTATATAAGAGACAAAAGTTGCTCCAAACATTATGTACGATTATTAAAAATTATAACTAATTAATTGTGCGTGGGATACGATCGTATACAATCAAGAACTGAAAAATTAAACTTTTGATTTTATACCAAAACGATTTTAGTATATTTGGATCAAGATATGTTGTAACTATACATTTTAAAGTAAAAGAAATGATTCAGATAAAATGCGCCCACCCTTTTTTCGTCAATACTGCAGTTACTCAAAATCTGATTCTTACAATTTTTAAATTATATTTAAGAACTATATTTTTAAATTCTTAATATGTTTTATACTACTAAGGAGTGTTTTATGGATATATAAATTCATTTCAAATTTCAAATGTTAACCCCCCGGCCCCCTTCTACTTAAAACTGTTAATTATTTAGTAGATATTTTTTTTTAAAGTTTGACCTACTTAAATCAAAATTTAAACTATTAGTTTTTGAGTGATTTAACTTTGTATACTAAGAGTAATAGATCCATGATAAAATATGGGTTTAAAAGATATGAAATATAATTTAGACTTGAATATTTTAGCAGGTAATTTATATGAATCTATCAATATTTATAACTGTAATAACAGTCCAAGTATAATAAATATTAGATTCAATGTTATATTTAATTTATACATCTGTAAAATCGTTTTAAGAGCTATTATTCTTAGTATTAATATTTTAATAACCAAGAAAATATTCGTTCAAATTTTAAATTAAGTACAATTTAAAATTTAAAAAAAATGATTTACTTTAAATTAATAATTAAAGGAAAAATATAAAGTGAGCATGCTTGATGAATCACTTTATGTACAAAATTTATCAAATATCACTAACAAAAAATTGGTGGGGATACGTTGGCTCTTGTGCGATTCCTACCATTTTTGTCACACAATATTTTGAATATGCTGCTTTTATATCTTTTGTATCTTATGAGTTGAAAAATGCATGGTTAATATTTAAACACAGTACAATAAAATAAAATACATACCTAGTACATTAAATTTACTTAAAAAATAAATTTTTGTTTTTTCATGGAACTTCTATATTTATTAATAGACGTGTGAAAACTTTTACGAGTGAAATAAAATAATTCTAAATATCATATTACATTATGTTACAGAAATGCTGAAACTATTCTTTGTAATCAGTGAGTGTCATTTCATTAAAATACTTATTATTATATTTACAAAATTATAATACAACCATGGTTGATTTTAAAATTCATCTATAATGTTATGTTGTAAATATACCTTTTTTTCCACAAATATTTAATAAATTGATTTTTCTTCTTCTGATATGTTTATAGCTACTTTGATAACGTTGGTGAGATCCGAGATTGAGGGTGAATGGATTTGCGAAGAGATCGATCTAAAAGGCAACTGCAGTGATTCACCTGAAATTAAAAATTTTATCGACATAACTATCAATAAAATTAATAATTACGAATATCAAGACAACTATTATTGTCCGTCAGTATACTATTGAACTATATATAAAGAATAATAATAAAATATACCCCCAAAAATTTGCAATTTATTGAAATAAATTAACTAGTAAGTTGTGAGTCACCATTAAGAATTTCAAGTTAGAGTTACTAAGTTTTAGTTAGTAGTTAACAAATAATATATTTAACTCTAAAAGTTTAAGACATATCATGTAAAAAAAAAAATTAACTTGACTCAATTGAAAAATAGTTCATTCATTTTGTTTTAATTAAATATCATTTGTTATACGTAGTAATTGTAAAACTTTAAACAATTTAAAATAATTAGCAGATATAAACGTATTTTTAAAAAGGCGTATTTATAATAACTATAATAATGAATATAATTTTATCATTAATTATTATTCTTTCTTGATTCATTCGAGTTGTAAGTAGTTTAAGAAATTATACACTTGCAAATTGCAGTATAAACTAGATTATTAAATCGATGAATACTTATTTGTTTATTTAAAATCATTGTTTAAACTTTAAAGTTTCATTTAATACCAAGTAATTCATTACTTATAGTTTTGTATTAACATGATTTTTCATTATGTATTATTTTTTTAAATTTACTAGTAAAAACTATTTTACTATAACGGGTATTTGAACAAGATAAGTTAATTTCAAAATTAACAAACTAATTAGGTAAACAAATAAAAATGAAATTCTTTTTTTATAAATTATCTTTGAATATAATATTGTTGTATTTGTATTAGTATTTGACACAGTTATTGTATGTATTAATTTGATTACCTAACCTAAATATACTTTTCTGTGAACACATTTTTGAGTAGAATATTGATTGCAGTGCTCAAAATGAATTAATTAGGCAGAAAATCAAATTTATGAATGATAACTTTTAAGATCCCATATTTTAATTTTTTTTCTATAAAAAAGTCTGAAAACAGTAAAATATTTTCGATCAAATACAAACATGCTTAGATTTTTTACATTAAAATATTGAAAATATATTGTGATAACAGTTTTAAGTTTGAATCAAAATCAATCATTTATTTTACAACGATTCTCCTCCAATCGTACTTAAACGTATTCCGGATTTACATCTGTTACTTTATTTATATTTTAATAGTTAAAATGTATACATTACTATAAACTGAACCGGGATCAAGGATGCAACTTAAACATAGTGTAAATATCTAGTTAATGTGGTCCATGTTTCCGTTAAGTTATAAATTATAGTTAGTAAAACTATTATAATGACTTACAGTAGTTTTACTTTGTAAGATCAGGGTTCTAGAAAATTACGCGAAAATTATTTTAAAATTATGTTTAAATAGAATTTTTAATACACATATACGTACTGATTACGTAATTTTATGCGTATCACGTATGTGAATATAATATAGATAACCAGGAATATCAAAGTAATTTATTGTTTGAGGTAATATCGTATAAACCAATAATTAATAAATAAATATTATGAAATTAATAAAATAGTCTATTATAAAGTAATTGTTTTGATGCATCTGCTATACTTTTTAATTTATTGCCTAATTATCATGTTGATTGTTGACTCATTATCGGCAATCAGTATTCTATTGTGTTGTAATGTCAGAAATTATTATACTATGTTAATAAATGTCTGTACTCTTAGTATAGCTCTAGTATGCCCTATTTTAATATTGTACATAACCTATGTAATTATCTGATTTAATGCACTGATTGTATTGTTAATTCGTCATTTTGCGTTTGTGATTTACAAAAACAGGTTCAATATTGTGGAACGGTACTCCAAGTGTATACACTTGTACTTTCAAAGCTGTAATATACATATGCCCATTAAAGATAAATATTTATTCTTGGTAAATATGCCACCGGTTGATAACTCAAGGATGCTCTGCACCAAAGGTCGGCCTTACAAAAAGGGTATGTTTATAAATTAATAGTGTAAGAATAATATAAAAAGCCCGAAAACATTAACTTATTAGATTACATACGTATGTATAAAATATTATTACAAGAACTATAAAATACATATTGCAACATTATTTTGTCGTTGTACGACTTGTACCTGTATAATATATTAGAAATTATATGTGATGCTTGATATTAAGTATATTTATATTTGCATAGTTAAGTTTAATGCCTATGACCAACTTCAATAAAAGTAACTATCGTTGTGCGATCTATACACACACACACATATATTTACATATATATACATAAATATATAGCATAAAATTGCTCTCAATTTATTAACTATACTATAAATTATAATCATACTAATCACGAATAGAATAAGTTTAATCATTAGTAGCGAGTATAAAATACAAATTAAACTAATTAATTTTACATGAGTTGGATTATATGGTCCTATCGTTGGTCTAATGTAATGTAGGTAATAGGTATAATACGAGTATAGGCTAAAGTGTCATAAAATTAATTGATTGACAATGTTTTTATATATTTTTACTACATTTACAATAACTCATATTGACATGTGATAAATTGTTAGTGACCCAGCTTACCAATCTTGCGTAATACTATATTATCAGGAATATTTAATTAAATTTAACTATTATTGTTAGAATTTCGAGAACACATGGCATGTTTGAAAGCGCTTAAAGAAAATGACGTACAAACCGAAGTACTGCGCGAAAAATTGCTGTACTATATGAAGCAAAATTTTGAAAACCAATCGATTGTAATAAATGAGGACTTGCAAGATAAACTGACGATAAATGGAGTAGATATGGAGTTATTGTATAATATGAACCCTATGAAATGCCAGTGAGTTTTAGTTTAATGTATGTTAAAAAAATTAAAATTTATTATATATTAAGATAATACGAAGTGCTTTTTTCGTACAATCTATATTTCTATTTAACTTATTCTGTTGAATGATCACAATTTTTACAGAATATACTCAGAGTTTATACGGTTACGATACATGCAAGTTTATACACAATGTGGATCGAAGACCGAAAAGTTTTCCCGCCAACTGTTCAGCAATATTTGGCCCGTATCGAGGATGATAGTTAGTATATGCCTATAATAATTAATAATTATTATTTAAATTAATTCGGTATTTTTTGAAAGTAATATTTTTAAGGGTCAGGAACGGACTTTGAGTATTCGTTTTTCCCCCATATTATGATTTTGTCATGTTAGTCATTTATCGATGTTTAAACCTAAATATTTAAAAATTTCAAGAGAAGGGACAGGTAAATTATTTATTTTTAAATTAGGGCAAAATTTATGTTTTAAAGTGAACGTCGTATAAACGGATTTGTTATTGTTTAATTTAATTCAAAGATTATAATCTTAAAAATATACTAACAAATATCAAAGTATGCTTTTAAAATCTCAAAACAATTAAACATGACATTATAAAATACTTTAAAATTCACATTAATCATTAGTCATTTAAAATATATTTTAAATTTTAAATTGGTTATTAATTTTTATTATTATACTATTATTATGAACAATACATTTAATATTCATTATTAAGACATACATAAAATGTATGAACGAACAAGCACCTATTTTTTTTTCATATTTTCTTTGAAATCTAAAGTTTAAAAAATAAATAAATAAAATGATATGCTTACAATGTACAAAAAATGACTTGTAATATAAAAAAAATATAAGATAAAAACAAAAATTGCATTTTTAGCTATAAGAATGATCAAAAGTATGCAAAATAAACTTTCATAACGGTATAATAATAAATTATCATTATACATCGTATCAAATGGATTTATAATTTGTTCTATTGTATGTCAATGTACTTACAACTAAAATAAAAATTGTCTAGATTCATATACACCCCAACCTTACTGATGACTATTTTATTACGTTTTTTAACGATAACGTTTTATTTCATTACAGAATAATTGCGACAAACAAATATATTTTAAAATATAATACGATATACAATTCAATCAAATATTTCAAATTATCAAAGACAGCTGCAAGCCATCAAATTTTATTGTACTTTTTTTTATTATTATTTGATTTTGTCACATTTAATAAAATAATATAATACACTTAAAAATATACTGAATAAAATAAAAATTATTATTATTATCTGGATTACATTGTTTATTATAGATAAATATTAATTGCAGTCAATTCAAACAGATATAATTTATTAATAACTGTCTACTTAACTCGCTATCATAAATTGATGCAATTTTATTATCACTATAATATACAATAAAGTGACTCTTTTTAAGTTTTAAAGGTAAGCACTTATTTTCTTGATAAATACAAACGTTTTTGCGAATATTTTTTTTTTATAGAATTTTAAGTAATTGGAAACAACATTTTTGTTTTCAAGATTTTAAATAACAAAATTACAAAATATTAGTTCGTTATTCATAACTTTAAATATTTATAAAATTATAACTATATTGAACTGTTTATTCAAAATTTGATTTTTGTAAATGCTATTACGATAATATAATATACAATAAAACAAATAATAATGATAATAATAAATGATTACAATAAAAAAATATAATTTTTTTATATGATTTATTTATTAAATATTATTTTGTAATTATATATAGATTACAAATTACAATGATTTTGGTGTCAATTGAATTCAGTTTATTAACAGGTTGCATTATTGTAAAAATATAAAGTATTCGATTAGAACCTATATAATAAAAGATACTTTAAAGTAAGTATAAACACTCAACATGCCACTCTGCATAGGCATGCACATGAGGCGAGCCAGTCGAACCGGTCGAATCTTTTTAGGGACATAATAAAATTTCAACCAGATATTAGTATTAATAATGAATTAATACATTCGTGGCTGGATTATATGAAAGCAAATAATTACATAAAATCGTTTAATAGGTTTTTCACTGCACTGAAATTATTCAGTGTAATATCAATTACAAGTTGTTCCTGCAAATGAAAATTGTCTAAATTAACAATAGTAAAAATAAATTTAGGAGTACTATACATCAAGACTGACTTAATAGTTAATTATTAAAGTTAAACTAACATCTAGTATCAATATTGACATGATCATTGAAAAATTTATTTTTAACTTAAAAAATATATGTCTAGAAATTAACACATTGATGTCGTGTGCACATATAACTTGATTCTATTTTCATAGTTTTTAATTTACAATTAGAATGTACATTTATGTGTTTGAAAAAAAAAAGTTAAGGGTACTGTCCAAGTATTGGGGCATTCATTGTTCCAGTCGCGACCAGAAATTGAAGTCTGCGCACGCCTATGCCGCTCTGTAAATGTTGTTTGTAATTAAGTTTGAAATGATTAGTCAATTAATTAACAATATAATTTATCTGACTATATACAAAGTGCTTCTGAAATGAATGATGTTAGTCGTATAAGTTTACTCACTATGGTAGTGACCCAATGATGATATTTTTAAAATATAAAAATAAACACTCGAATTATATTTTTTACAAAATTCTCATAAAATTGCGATGAAACATCGTTTTTGAGTTTGTAGCGCATTCTTCATACTTGAGTCACTGCCCACCAACTAAAATAAAAAGTGATGTGATTGTGTGACACATCGATTTGTATAAAAACACTGCAAGGTTAGGATAAGTAAATTTATTGGTTGCTATTTAACATATAAAATTAATTAATACCTGAAAATAATGAAAGCGATAAATCACAGTAAATTAAAAAAAAAAAAATGTAATATAACAATAATTTATAGATATGATACAAGCACGGATCCAAACCAGAAATCTGAAGATTTTTTTTACAATTCAAATACAATTAAAATATTATATACTTTAAATGGAAAAAAAATTGATACTTAACTCAGTAAAAAAAAAGTTAAATAATTGAATTTCGATTACTGCTTAAGTGACTTGGTCATACATATTATTATGATAAGAAGGTTTATAATATAATTTACACAATCTTATAAGATTTATTAAGTATTTTTGATGCAAAAAAGAAAGACAAGTTGATCTACTTTTCTGTACACTAGATAGCGAGTAGGTCACTATCATTGGTGTGTTAAATTTGAGCTCAATGGTTTAATGATCAAATTTATTATATTATTTATTATATTGTACCCATATAAAAAAAAATAAAACGATTTTGAATGGAGACAATATGTGAGCCTAATATCAGTAAGTGTATTTCATGATATGTTTTTTGATATGATAGCTATTAAAGTAATTTATTTTACTATTTATTAGTATATTATATGTTGATAATCGATATAATATTTTCTTAAAACAATGCACAAAATTATTATAAATTATCATAATAATGTATACTTAATATTTAAACCATATAATATTATTATTATTATTTATTTTTAAGTTAAAAACATATTCCTATAAACACCATAATACAATATTATAATTAAATAATATCTTGAAATTAATGGAATATGAATACATTTTATAAAATTTCATTGTGTATAGTAAAATTCACAATATATATTAAAGTTTTAAGTTCCCACGTATGATATTTTAAAATTTTAACAAAATAATAAACATTGATATTTGTTATTGTTTAAAAACATTATTTACTTCAAATTTAAACCTAAAATATTTATAATAAATATATATTTTAGATTTTATGATTCAAGTAAGAACTATAGATATGAAGAATCTTATATTTTCAAAACTTAAATAAAAAAATAAAACTTTTTCTGAATTTCTTACTACAAAATAGTAAAATAGTAAAAACTAAGAAATGTTTTAAAATTTTGAACAAATTTTATTTTAAGATATGTATAGATATAAAAAAATACTCATTATTGTAAAATTAATACATTCATCGCTCTATTCAGAGCATAGAGTAAAAATTGGTAATGGATGAAAATATTAATATTACATTACTACAACTATTATTGGTATGAATATCAGTGTTCTACATAATAAAAATAATGATATCATTCATTTATTACCGCATTTACTAATTATTATAATATATATATTACTACTTGCTAACAGTGACATTGGTTGTAATATGTGTTCTCAATATTGAGAACTAGTAAATAAGTATAATCTATAATCTAAATTTTTAAATAACAAAAATACAGTGGTATAAAGACAATTAAAATATTTTATTTTTTACGATGATCATAAAATATTTATTTTTAAATTAAATGATAGGTTTAATAATATAAGCGATTTTAAATGTGTTACGTGGCCAATCATCGTGGTTTTATCGACATTATTACATTTAATCAATTGTATTGATCCAACACCAAGACTCATTAGTCACCGCCATTCATTGACTTTCAAATTCGAACTATCATTATTAACGATATTCTTTATTTGATGATTACGTATAGATAATAAATTATTTTGTATATTTTTATATACAAATTATATAATTATAAAAATATAATTGTTTTATGATGATCAAAAAATGATCATGTTAAAGATGTTAATTTTACCATTTAATCAAAGAAAGAACAATTTTATAAAATTATAATTATAACTTCTACATATAGATGCATGCTTTGTATGAAATAGGTAGGTATAATTGTTAGTAATAGCGTATACCATTAACGACTCTACGCTACTGATTACACTATTTATCAAGTTTCATACCTATAATCTATATATACAATAATTTTAAGAATTTACAATATTAGTTTTTCCAAATGTTTTATATTTCATTTATAGTTTTTACTTAACTTTAAACTTATGTAAATTCATTAATTAATAATATGAATAATTCAGTATTAATAATATGATATGTTATTATAAAAATGAGACTATAATGTAAAGTACTTGTTCAAATATATCATATTTAATTAAACAACTATATGTTTTTTAAATAGAACCGACCTCATATATTTGTGTCTTGGATATTGACTCGCTTTAATACCATATAGTAAGTGTATAGTGCTTTAACAAACTGAAAATAATTAATTACAATGATATATCAGATAAATAGTTATGACCAGTTAGCGAAAACTTAATAGAATAGTTAGTATATTATACTTTACAAGTATAGATACATAATTTGCATTAGTCGATTTAAGATAAGATAAAAAAGTATAAAATAAATCCATCTTACCGAAATAAACGACTTGTAACTTAATTTGTACATGTAATACCCTGTGACTACAGTTGGTTTCGTAGATCTCAAAATCATTAACGTCACTAATTGTCGTATTTTTTTATCGCATCGCCACCACGGAACGTTATACAATGTCGTACTAACACTTATTTGCTGTACATAGACAAAAATAACAGTAGGATTACAATATTTAGGTAGGTTTTTTGGTTTATCCGTACTTTTTGTATGATAAATTCACCAAAAAAATTATTGAGATATTGATGCCAAACACTCACACAAATGAAACATATTACAGTAATTGTTTCAGCTATGCTGGTACTTATCTAAACATAAAACACGTGATAAAACTAAATAATTGTATTTCTACAACCTAAATAACAATTTAAATAGGGTAGTTTTTACATAAATTAAGCTTTTTAGTTAGGTAAGTAAATTTTAAAAATAACTTCTAGTAAAATGCAGAAAAAGGAAAATAATTAAATAAAATGAAAATAACTTTAAATAGATATAATATAATTATTTCAGGATAATTAAACATTAAATTATATATATATATATGTTTAAGTTTATAATATTATCAAAATGATATGATATCTTATATCATTATATGGCTGTAAATGCAACTTGCAATAAATTATGTTTAAAAGTAATCATAATAGATTTATTTTATAAAACCAACAACTGATTACTGATCTAAGATAAAGATATAAATAAAATATAACTCCTATATTATATATTTATATAATAATAACTAATAATAAATACTAATACGGCTATGTATTTAATTTAATTTATTATTGTATTTTTTTTTCATCTACCTATACCATGATTAAGATATATTTTAATTTTAGGTAGGTGTTAAAAAAAGTTGATGTACAAAATTATAATGTTACATACAGAGTAATATATCAAGCGTATTTATCTCTGTTTATTATAACCCTAGTCCCTAATAATGAATTTATTCAAATCCTGATTTTTGGAATTTTTAAGTATACTTAAGGATTTTATTTTCAAATCTATAGAGTTTTTTATACCATTTAATAGTACTCTGTGGTGTTATCAACTCTTAATATTTAAATAATAGTAAACACTCTTTTTCCTGTAAATTATTTAGCAGATGGCTTTATTGAAATTTTTGTTCTAACTCAAAATTTGAACAAATCATTTTGAGTTATTTCATTTAACTTTTAAGGCTAAAATAATATAAGTTCATGATAATAATATATGTTTGATAAGTGTCTATGATGATTTAAAAATTATAACCATCTGTTAAACAATTTACAGTAAAAAAAGTTAACATACCGTTAACTGAAACAATGCAAATGTCAGCGAGGTTATTCCATGTAAATAATCCATAAGTATAAGTGTGCTAAATAGTTTACTTATACTTTTTATATAACTGCAAAACAAAAAATGACATATAAAATATAAACCAACAATTATTTTAATTGTAAATTCCTACTTATACAATATAATAAACCAAAAAATACATATAGCTATATAGTTAAATAGTTTTATGTAAAATATTAGATATGTATATATTTAAATTTAATACATACTCAAGGGCTAGGATGTGGTGTTTTAGACATTCTCGGAGTGTCGAGTAGCATAGCATTAGTTGTTTTTCAGTAAAAATTGAAGGCTGGTTTGAACACGAAAAATTTTCAACTGTAAAAATGTTATGTTATAAGTTTTAGACGAACATCCGGGGCTAGTACGCTTTCACGGATTCGTCCAATCTATGACTATATTTAAAATTAATAAAAATTCATATTACAGTAAAACTTCGTTTAGACGCTATCGAAGGAGAACTCGTAAAACTACAAACGAGCATTGTACAGAATTGAGTCCAAGCGGGATGCTAGACAGAATAAATTAGAAAAAAGTTTATGGTATTCCATGTTATTTATTACATAACAAAAACATCAAATATAAAAAAATGCATATACATTTACAAGGTTGTTATATTATATCATATATTATTATTTTTAAAGTGGTACTGGTTTGTTATTCAATAAGTTTGTTCTATAATTTATCAATAAGAAGGTTTCTATCTTACCTAAGTATTATTAAAGAATATTTTCGAAACCATAGGTTACAGTAAGTACCTGTATTAATGAAGTTATTGATTATATAGTACTTGCGAGTAAAAAGATAGAGAGATTTCTTCCTCAACATCCTTTAGAACAGTGTTTCTCAATTTATGGATCGTGAAATATTTTTTATGGGTCACCAATTGTGATCTATAATTAAAATATATATGAAAACAATTTTAAAAGAAAATTTATAAATGCCTAAGCTAGGTTTTATTTGATACCTTTACGCATAATAAATAATAATAATGTGAAGTCTTGCTAGTATTGTAGATATCAATATATCTTTAGTAAAGTTTGTATTATATTTTTATCTTATCGGTATATGTGTTAATAACTGTAGATATGGTGTCGGTAAATTTTCCATTTATTTGAACAATAAGCAGTACATAGAGACTACGAGAGTAGGAACAAACAAAAAGTTTTAGTTTACGATCAGACACTCATTTTTAAATACTCAAATTTTATATAATGTATACTAAGTTTTAATTTTTCTAATGGATAAATATATTGTTTGTATAACCATATCTGGTGGTACCAATTAACAAGTTCCATCAGGCAGTTCAGTACAATACAAATTTTTTTTTAATATTAGTGGGGGCGTATCGCGTAACCAACAAGCAGTAGATTTATGATTCATCATTACAATAAGGTTAGGAAACACTGCTTTAAAACATATAGTTCATCATTAGTAATTGTAATCTGGTTGATAATTTTTTCAAGATCTAAAATTTCACTCGTTATTAATTGATCATCAATGAATATATAGCCTAGATAAGCTTCTTCAAATTCATCTTCTTTGTCTGAATTCAAAACTTCATGTGGGCTTTATTGAAACAGTTTTTAATCCTTTCTGGTGTTATCTTATCCCACGCGATTGAAATATAATGAATGACATTTAAAACATTAATTTTAGAGATTTATTCATCAGTCACTGATTCTATTGCCCGTAAATACCATTGTACTAACTTCTTACGGTACTTCTATTTTAAAACCTTGATTGCACCCTAATCAAGAGGCTGAAGCTTGCTTGTAATGTTCGATGGAAAAAACACAAGTTTGATTTCAACGGAAATTTCTTTCAGACGAGCTGGGCAATAGTCGATAAATAAAATGATTTTTCTCTTCTATTTAACAAACCCGAGGTTAAGCTCTTAAACCCATTAATTGAACAAACTTCCAGTCATCCATGCATAGTTTTGAGCTTTGTAGTCACACGGGAGATTGCGTACATTTTTAAAACATCTGAGGGATTTCGTTTTACTTATTACTAATAGTCTTAACTTGTTAGTTTGAGCAAGCTAATACAGTTAACATTTCATTACTTAACTTACTAACATGGTACGCATGACATGTTACGTCTTTCAGCACTATTAACTTGTTTGCATCAATTTAAAGAACAAGCCAAACTTGTCGACGTTGTGTGTGTCCTCCTCAGGTAAATAGTCTTTCAACAGATTTAGTAGAATAATCTCTTTAAATAATGCATTACAATTATCACATTTAGCTTCAGCTTTCTCGCACATTTTACAATAGATAATCCCATGCTTTTTTTTAAATCAATCAAGCCAGAATCTATTATGTTCAAACTTTTTGCGATTTCGTTCACTTTTTTTTGCCAAAACTAGACTATTTACAAATAAACATTAACGTGCGAGCTGGTCTGAACTACTCCAACAAAATATTTTCTATCTACTCGCGTTTGCTAACTTTAACCTTTCTACGTTTTATACTTCCTGAAAACGCATTTTTTTTTTCAATTTCACTCCTGTCCTTTTATATGGTCCACGACGAAGAGGATGGTAATCTCAATTCTTCACTAATTTGTTGTTTATTCAATACACCATTTTTTTCGTCATATTGTCTTAAGTGTCTTATAATGTTCAGTTTGTCGTCAATAGATAAAGCTTTCCTTTATACCCCTGCATGACTAATTGACATATACGTACTTGTCATTTTACACACTAGAATTATATCCAAACTACACAAAACAACTACTACTCGTATAAAAATTAAAAATTAAAAATCTTCATGCCATTCATGCACCACTTCAACAATCGAACACGATTACGATGTAGTTGTTATTGTAGTTATACAGTAAGAACATTGCACGTCACAAAATATCAAAATTCAATTCATTATCTTTATTAATCGATAACATTAATTAAACTAAATAGGTAATCCACGGTTTAAAAGTGTAATATACCAGAACATATAATATTATAATCAGTGGCGTAGCCAGGGGGATGGCTGAGGGGGCTGTATCCCCCCCCCCCCGAAATTTTAAGAAAATTTAAAAATTATTTTAATGTTGATTAATTAAATTTTGTTAGCTTTCTATAGCCGTGGCTGTGCTAGTAGGTATTTAATGTATATAATATTCTGCATAGGTCGCGATAATACAAAATAGCGTTCTGGTTTTTTTTTTAACTGCAGAAAGGAGTTTTTCTTCTTTTAGAAGACTAAAAACCTACCTTAGAAATTCAACTTCAGAGTCAAGACTTGTCGGACTTGCATTATTATCTATTCATAGAGACAATAACAATTTAGATGATCAAAAAATATTAGACAAATTTGCCAACAGCGGAAAGACTCGAAGGTTAAAATTGTCACTTTAATTTTTTGTCATTTAATAAATAGTAAATAAATATTGTTCATTTTTTTTATTTATCATATATTCAATTTTATTAAATTGTAGTTAGTTTTATTATATAAAATGTTGGTATACTATATTATTATGTTCTATTAAAAAAGAAAATGCATTACTATTTTTAAATAAATAATACTGGTAAAATAATTTATTGTATATTACTATTAAAATAAAATATCCAAAGTATTTAAAGTATACAAGTATATTAAATCAATATATGTTAAGGGTTATAGGAACAAAAATCTTAAATAAAATTTCAGCATCTGCATGTTCAAATTATGGAAGAACCTAAGTAAACCCATTATATAGCCTCCCCTCCCGAAAAAAAATCCTAGCTACGCCGCTGATTATAATATTATATTATCTTATGAATTTAAGATAAACGTTTCAACGAAATTTGTATCTTCGTGTAATAAGTATACTTACTTTGTTAAATGAATTTTTTTTTTTTCTATGTACAATAGATACGATAGTGTCCAAAAAAAAGAGCGGATTATGCGGGATCAAATATTAAATTGGGAGCATACTAAGCGTGTTTTTTCAATGTTAAAAGATCTACAGGTACTATAGGGACCGAAAAAAAAATCCACGTACTAAGTGAAATTTGTGCATTATCTTTTAATATTTGAGAAAATACCACACGATTGTGCACAAAATTAATTTAATTTTATATTTTTGGCTTAAATGATAATAGTTAAAAACCCACCTATAATATAGTATACGTATATATATATACAATTGCTACGGCTGGTAGATACTTTATGGCAGCTACATAAATTATATTTTATTACTATAATAATTGATAAGTGTTAGTAGCTGTAGTTTTAAACGTATTGATTTTCTGACGTATTCGCATCCGATAATATTTATTGCACCGGATTTTTTTGATAGTTAACTAATACTGTACGTTAACGAAATATCAAGTATGACAGTCACATACTAACTTCATATCTAAACGTAATTTAATCACATCGCACAACGTGTATATTTCCATTTTATTTTTGTGCAATTTCGCTTTGAGAAAATGGAAAAACAAATACAAAAAAAAAATTTCAAACAGAAAAAAGTAAGCCGTGTATTTTAGTTGATGATTATAAATGTAGTGAATTTGAAGTTTTGAAAAGTGCTAAGCATGTTAAATGAGCATACACATGACGTGATTTCAGAAAATATTGTTGGTAGGGAAATTGTGAATTCTCGTTTAAAAATAAAATGTAAAAATGATTTTCTCACTAGGCAAAAACTTAGAAATATATACCGAAAAATATGTCTAGCCGATTTATTCTGATATAAATTAAAGAGAAAGTGTATGTACGATAAACGTAGAAAAAACATGCAAAAAATTCCAAAATCTTTAAAGGAAGCGATAACTCAGTTGTTTGATGGTCGTGAAAATATTACAACTTATACTGGTGAATTATTTTATCACACGGAAGAAACTTTAAGTCCAGTCATATTCACTTGCAAAACTAATCTTAAACTATTGAGTCAAGTTTCTCATATTTTTGCATACGAAACATTTTCATAAACACCCAAATATTTTAAACAACTGTATTCAATACATATATTACAAAATGGTTTTTATGTCCAGTAATTTACTGTTTTTTAATTTCAAAATCAACTAAAACTTATGTACAAATGTGGCATACATTTTTACATAAGTGCCTAACCTAACGCAATTATTGTGCTGTATTTTTTTTAGGTAAAAAGTGCGCAATCGTGTTACGCCCAAGTGGAATGGAGTATTAAGAGAAAGCGTCTTAACGAAGTATCACTGTATTTGATAAATCAAATGAAATATTTATTACATTGATCATATAAAAACAAAACTCAATAGAGTAACTAGATTTAGGAATACCAAAAGCGTATCCTTTAACGTCTTTTATCGAGGCTTTAAATAATTATTATTTATTATAATAACAAATTATAGGTAATACTTGTCCAAAATTATATTTATAGTATTTATTACTTAATTAGTTATTACATCAACATTCTTCGAAAAGCAATTACCTATATAAGAACTAATCTAACTTATGTTATGCCAATAAATAACTATTTATTTTAATAATAATAATTTTGACCATTTTGATAAATAATAGGGCTTAGTTTTTTTTCGTAATAATTTATATTGGAAGTTGTGACGATATCAGATAGTAGTTTAATTTCATGATAATTTAAAAATTTAAAATAATTAAAAATTACTTTTACCAAAAAACATAATTGACATTTGTGAAATTTACATTTTAAAGATGAAAAATTTGATATTTATCTGAAAGATTTTACATATTACTATAATAGTAACGAATTAAAAACCAAATAAAGGTTTTTACATTCCTTATCGGAATTTATCTAGTAAGGACTGTAGGACATCAAATAAAACTGCTAATCAATGATTCAAAAAATTATCAATAAGTTAAAATTTTTAATATTTTTAAGACTGTGAAATTATTTTTGAATTTTAAGTTTCTAATCGTTCAGGTGTAAATATGTTTGTCTAACTAAGTTTGGTGAAAACAATATTAAAAAAGTAAATAAAACAAACGAGGTAGAATAGATGCGATACTGGTAATTTATATGGAACAAGAATTTGTCTCTGAAAATAGTATCACACATAAATTCTCCTGAAGTTGAATTTAAGAATCTACATATTTTTAACCAAATATTAAAATTTAATAAAGAATCTTTAATAATTAATATTTAATATATTTTAACATATAGTTACGTGCTACATATAATAATGAAATTCTTCAATATATTATATAATTTTGAAAAATTAATCTAAAAATTAATGCAATAATTTTATTATTCATATATCTTTTTGAGAGCGATCATAGTCTTACAAAATTTAAAAAAAAATTTCCTAAGTTTAAAAAGGTAATAATATTTATTTTATATTGGTATTTTCTAAACATTGTATAATTTAAAAAAAAAATTCTATATTTTGTTAAACATTTAGAATTAATATTTAAGATTTGAAATTTTCAACTTTTATAGTTTGATTCCGTTTATGTTGATAACATTTTTGTTTTTAAATAAAAAATCTTGAACATTTAAGGCAAAAACCCATCACATAAGTTATTCTTGCAAAAATTCAAAAATTTCAAAAATTTCAGATAATTTATTATAATATAATATAATAATTTAATACTTACGTTGTGCTAAATTATTTTCGTTATTATTTAGAGATGTGTTTAGTAATTTGATTTGACCACCGACAGCATAAATTGCCCCAAAAAAATATATATCAATACCTAAATATATAGCCGCGATTAAAAATGACGCAATAATATGACAGGCAAAAATTGCTAAAAACATCCAATTTTCATTCAACGTGAATGGTATCCAACAGATAAAAGGATAGCTTTTTGGATCATTGTAGTATTGAAAATCGGACTGATCACTATAATACATACAATAGGTAATTATTAAAATAATTGCATAAAAATGTTTCATCGATTGCTTAAATATAATATAACACAAACAGACTAGTTGTTCCTCCCGTTGTTTAATAAAGTATTAGATTTTTTACTATTAACAGAAACAGAATACAGTATTATGAATCTACCAGACTTCCCTGAATTATAAACTGAAATTTTAGGCACCGAGGTTGAATTATTTAGATACTTGCAAACTTTTTGTTTAGCATTGTAGAAGTTTTGTCGTTTATAATGTATTTGTTTTGTAATAAATCGAAAATAGTATGTGGTATTTTGCTACATATAATATAAATCAATAACATGTTAAATATTTTTCTATCAACCTTTTTGGAACCGAAATCGAAAATGTGCAGTTTTTGGACGCACCTGCCAAATCTTTCCAAGGGAGGAATCTCATCTTTTACATGTAGTTTGTACTATTATCGAGGAAATTAAGAGTTACTAAAGTTAACTAAATTAAAAAATAATAAAAAAAATTACATTTACTTGTTCAAGGTAAACAGGGGATTGACGGATATAAAGAAAGCAGCAACAAAACCACTGAATAAATACCAACAACTGATCTTTCGCATTTGTTTTAAATAATCGGCAGTAAACACATCGGCTGAGCGTCCATATGCCATCGATCCTTGAGTTTGTAATTGTGTCAGTGCGAATTTAAGATGGGAAAATTCCCAGTTGAACGCCGTCATATAAAGCCATTTATACAAGCCTGAGAAAAACAGGGTCCAAATATCTATGGTCCTTGCCAACAATGTTAGGTCGGTGGTAATGAACATCTGGACCAACATCAGAATCGTTAACAAAGTCAGGATGATAAAAATGATCAATCTGTAAAAGTTCAAAGCCAAACGCGTCCATTTTGTTGAGTCACTCGATTGAAACACGCCGATCCACCGGAGAAAATTGTATGCAAACGATAAATAATCACTACTCTGCATCATTCCGAATGAGTGCTTTTATAATATTGTTGTGTATACGATCCAAACGAATAACGTGGTTCAACTTCAGCTAAGGAGACTCATGTGATCACCATCAACATTAACAATATATTTTACTTATATATGTTAAGTGTTTGCCATTTATTATACGTATTAATTTATTATTATCTTGGTTATGGAGTTATGCCCGAAATATTCTTTTTTCGATTTTATATGCATTGGTTTAATATTATAACAGCAGCTATCTACCTTCATTTTTTATGAGACATAATAATATGTTAATATAACAATTCCAAACATATTATTGTTTAAGAAATTCAAACTATATATTTACGTATAATAAGATAATCATTATAGGTCATATATTATTTATAATAATAATGTATTATTTTAGACATTAATAGGTTGTAGAAGTTGGTACTTTATAAATGTAACTTGTACTTTTTTATACTTAAATAAATATGTTTTATGTCATAAGATGTTGATATAAATCAATATGTTATCTAGTTGTGAATCTACTGTATTCGGGAATTATCTGACTAATTAATATATCTTGATACAATCTTCCACTTTTCGGTCTACGTTTATTAAATTATTAACTATCTGAATAATGAAATCAAAAATATTGTATTTAAGTATCATTTTCAAAATATCAATATGTTATTATTTCTATAAAACTTCATTCATAGCTATAAAAATATAGTATAATATTTATACAAATATATTTAAATAGGTATAATGATCAGTTTTATTCTTAAATAAATTAATTGTAAACAATCAACATTATAATTTTAATTCTTTACATTATGTATTGAGTATACTTCATCATTGAGTAAGTCGTGGTAATATTTGAGTTAATTTTGAATTCAATAACAATTTATCATATACCAAAAACGATTTTGAACGATGACGATCTGTCAGCCTATATTATTAAGTATATTTTATGATATACATACGTTATGTTCAGAAATGTTTTATTATGAAAAATCTTCAATTAGTAGTAGTTGCGTTCCGACATACCAAAACTTATATTCGACACTACGATATAATATATAATACAAATATTTGACATATGATAGTATAATATAAAAAATAGTACTTGAGTTTAACCACCAGCAACCAATTTTGAAACTTACCCGATTTACAAAAAATTACCATTTTATTAAAACCTTTTAAATTTAATTTTTAATACTTTTTTACCCACATAAATGTTTTATTAGAATTAATAATATGACAATTTTAAACATATTGTTTAAAAAATTAAATTATATATTTACCTATAATAGAATAATCATTATAGACTATATACTTGGTAAATAAATATTAATAGGATGTAGGTATATCAATATATATTTTGTATTTATACAATTTTAGCTTATTAATGACCATTGTCTATTCTCATTCATAATATATATATACGTATTATAAACATAATATATTATGCGTATCCGCTTGTTATTATTTTAATAGTTATACATTTTTTATATAATTACATTGCTATCTACTTAATGTTTTATAAGAGATAATAATATGACGATTCCAAAGACATTAATATTTAAGAATCAACACTATATATTAGCATAATATAGTATAGCATAATATACATATCTACAGTAATAAGTTTAAGTATAGACATTATGTATACAGAGTGACCAATTTAAATACATTAATTTTATAAGTTAATTTGAATTAAGTTGAATTACAATTTAGAAAAGATATCTTCTTTTCATTATGGGTTGAAGTATAAAGTGTTTTTTACAATACTATTTTTAATTATACTAATAATTGTACTTTTTTCAATGACAACAAGAATTAATAATTTAGTAACTTGGAGCTGAATAATTTTAAAAAATATTTCATGTATCAAACTGCAACTAATATCAAAATTTTATTAATAATTATTTATAAATAAGTGTTCTCCAATTTTAAGACAATTAATTAGTTTAAATAATCAAATAATCGTTCTATACAAATATTACTATGATGCAATTCGTTAAACAGGTAACTAACCATTCTAACACAAAATTAAAAGTTTTATTTAATTATTAACTATTGATTATTAATAATTATAACATATTTTTTTTTAAATAATTGTAAAAATTTTAAAACACTATACATCTATGTAATAAATCTGTACATAATTGGATAAAATATTTAAAAAAAAATAAAAAAATATTTTCTAAGACTATTTGGATCATTCACTGTGTTTTTTAAAAAAGTTTAAGTATATTGATTCATCAAATAATTATTTATCGGCACTAAAAAAAAAAAAAAAAAATTGATAATTAGCTGAAAATAAGTTAAAAAATGTTGAAAATTTTATCATTTAACCATTTATTAAAAATATTTATGGTCAATAATACAATGAAAATGATAATATAAACATTTTGTGAAAATTTTAGGTATCTTCAGTTATTTGTTTTTGAATTACAACAAAAAACAAAAATCATTTTAAAAGAAATAATTATCATACGGCCCATACGGATAAATATCTAGTTACTTGTTCAATTGTTCGTCTAAAAAAAAAGTGGTAAAATAATTAAAGAAGAGTTAAAAAAAAACGTGTACTAAATTTTATAACTTATGCATAAACTATCCAACCGATTAAACTGTTTCATACTAACATATTATATCAGAATTAAATTCATTAAGATGAGTTTGTCTAACAAAGATGAAATAAATTAATCCAACATACAGCGGCCGTCTATTTCTTTTCTAAAATTAAACTCTTAAAATTATTTTGAACGAGAAAGAACTGTATGATCAATTTAAATGTTTGAATAACTTTTAAGAAAAAAATACCCATAAATGGCAATGCAAAACATCTGGAAAAAAATTAATGTTGAGTTTTAATCATTTACAGAAAATAATATTGATAATTCTATATTATTAAAAACTGTAAAATTTACATTTGCATTGTCTGGATCTTAGGCTGCAGTACAAAGAATATTATCATTAATGAATATTTGTGGATTTCTAGTATCAATAGATTAGGAAAATAAAGAGTTAGATAAAATTAATGATGAATGATGGTGCATAAAAAACCTTGAAAAACTTTTTTAATTTTAAAATTAAATTAAATTATAAATTATATTTATGTATAAAAAATAGTAATTATTATATTATTACAATTTGTTGTATTTCTAATTTTTGACTTTTTTAGTTTATTGATATTATAAAAACATTAAATAACGTGTGACTAAAAAAAGTGTTACTGAAAATTCTCGAAATTGTGTTGATGGGAATATTATAGTGTAATATTATTTGTAAATGGCAACCTCAATTTAAAATATGTTCTTTAGTTTGATGTTTCAAAATTATGGTATAAGTAGGTAGTTTTGTCTATAACTAATAACTAGTGTAGATAACTATTTATACCAATGTATACATAAATATATATACGAGTATTAAATATTGTACGACATTGACATACAACAATATCTAACTGATACTAACATACAGGATCAGTCTTAGAAGTAGGCGAGCTGACCGATCTCCCAGAGCGCAAAATTCTGATATATCATGGACATTGGGCGCCATCAGAGTAAGTAATTTATATAGCTCAATAAAGATTTAAATACGAAATATGTAATATTTCCTATATAGTTTTTTTTTAAGATGCAATAATAAAAATATAATTTTAATTATTAAAAAACATAGGTACAATGATATTTTAAAATAGGTGAAAAATGTATTATATTTTGCCTACCACTCACCAAAAAAACAAACCAAAGTTATGCCACTGATGTAATATTAATTATGCGCTAGCATATTAATACTACAACAATCAAACACAGTTTTTTTATAACAAAATAACTTGTTGTATAGATCCAAATATTCTATACTATATATGTATTTAATTAAAATGCATATCCACGAAAACAAGTTAGTCGAAGCTTTTATTATTAAGTATAGATACCTATTATAGTATACCATAAGGCCCATAAGGGAAATTATTTAAATATTTATATTTTACTATTTTAATATACATAAATATAACAATATACATATAATAATATATCCTAGACGGCTAGGTAAGTTTGTCATCTTACATTCGTTTGTATTATCACGAAGTGTCTCAATTATAGGTACCTATAGCTACATTTTAATTACTTAACAAAATTTATAATAATATTACAATGATAAAATCTTTCGACTTACTACATAACTACATAATATTCGCGTGCCGAAGTAGTCTCGTTTTATCGCTTTCTCTGTCGGTAAAATACAATATTATCGTCGTTGACACAAAAAACGTCCCATGTACTAAAATCTGATTTTTCAGGAAACACAAGAAACGTTTTAAAAATTCACAAATTATCAATAATAAACGCAAATAAATTTTATAATTGTTTATCTCGAAAAAAATGTAAGTAAAAAATTAATAGTTATAGATTTATTGTTCAAATTGGCAATATTATATTACACAGAATGTTTGATTAATTACAATTTTTTGCCATAATTACATTAAAGATTTTCATTGTCACTTAGGTTTTCAATATTAAATTGGAAGTTTTCTATTGGCTTTTAATGGCACATAATATGAATGGGTTATGAATAATTAATAATTTTATAAAAATAAAATCATTTAAAATATTTTACCGATCAACTGAGACTATTTTGTCATTTTTATTTCAAAAACAAATTACAATGAAAGTATAAAACAAATTTAAATTCGTATTTGTATTTGCATTTTTTTTTTTTCTAATAAATGTAGTTAGTCTTATTGGAGATGACGAAACAATTGAAATTAAATTTCCATATTCCGCCAAAAACTACCTACTTAGATATATTTGAAGCTATGGTGATGGAAAAATAATACACTAATTCATAATTTATTTTATTTTTTAATATTTTAAACTCTCTCTATAGGTATCATATCTATTGCAGGAATATATGGATAAAAATAAGGAAGTAGTACTACTTTAAAAAAATCATGATTACTATTTTAAAATTCTAACATAACTTCACGTAACAAAAAAAAAACATTATTTCATTTTTTTTTTTTTTATTACTCAAAATTGGTATTACATATAAAATACTGCAAACAATTTTAAAATAAAAACATTTAACCTTTAACCTTAATTGAATTTAGTAAGTCCTATAGGTATTAGGTAGTAGGTATAGATTTTATTACAAGTGTTTGTTGCCAGAGTTAGTAAATCCATGATTTAGAAAACGATTATAATTAAGCGATATTAAAAACTTAGAGCGAATTAAAAAAGAGCAAGAAAACAAACAACGCACTGTAAAAAAAAAAGCAAAATTTATTAAGGCCAACGTTTAAAGTTAAATCAAACATTTAAAATTGATTCACCGACTCAATTGTTATTTGAACCTAATTTTATTTATTGAAGTAATAAAATTGGATTGATTACGTTCTTGTTTTGGTGTGATGTCTTCTTAATTTAAAAATGTTATTATAATAGTAAAATCAAAAATCAGTATAATAAATAAATTATTGATAATATAATATAAAGCAACTTAGTGACAATATGAAAAGACATTTAAATTTTGTTCATTTGTTATTTAATGCATAATATTTATATATTAAATAACAAAATCTAAACATCTTGTAACATTTTCGCTTTTTCCAAAACGGTCAATGTTTAATTAAATTATTTCAATTGTACAACAATACATGTATATTTTAATAAATATACATATATTATAAAATATAAAGTTTAATACAATATCAGTATATTATATTAAAATCTAACCATAATTTTATTTTAAACAATGTATACTTCAACACGAATTTATATTTAATACGAAGATCTTGAAATTGTTGGTTAATAATGAAGATTATCAAACAAACAGATATATAAGAATATAAGTATACATTTTTTATTATATAAAAATTAATATTCCAAGACCACGATCCAGAATCCAGACACGCAAGTAAAATATGCCCATAGTAGGTATAGAAAAAGATTGGGAATTGGAATGGTAATGGAGATAGACGTAATACTTCGTATTATATTCCACTGGAAGCGCTAGCATGAGCAGGTTATTGTCTAATTTGATAAAAATGTAATTTTTCTCTACAGAGTGCAGGCCACAACCTATTATAGACCGTCACACAACCATAGGGCATAGTATCTTAAATCGTGGTTACTGGTTCGTGGCTAAAAAATTATCATTTTTGATTTTTATCATTAATCATTACTCATTACCAGCGTAACGGCTTTCCGCTTTTAGATACATTAGGATAGGATTCAGTTGTTAGTTGGCAAGAACAAGTTTCTAAAATGCCAACAACTCGTTACACCCACGCGGTGGTAAATCGTTTACCACGATCGCTAAAAGACCGACAACCTACGTTGGACTACGATCGAGCTAAACGGCAACATGAGAACTACGTTCAAGCCCTGCGAGATATTGGTCTTGACGTGATTGAAATGCCAGCAGACGAGGATACACCTTGGTGTGTTTTCGTTGACGACACCGCGTTTGTGTGCAATGGTACGGCGATCATCACTAAGCCCGCTGAGCCCGAAAGACTGAAAGAAGTAAGTTTGTTACTTCGTCACAAGTATTAATTGGACACTTTTCACGCATTTAATTTTCGTTGTATAAGTGCCAATACAATACATTTATGTTTAGAAATTCAGTATTGTTAATTTTAATATAAAAGTGAATTTATCTATTATCTAACATAAGTATAATATTTGCTATTGTTTTGATATTTAAATTTTGTTAGACAAAAAAATACAATTCTATACAGAAAATATTGTTACCTTTAGGTTTTATAATAGTACATTAATTCTACCTAATATTTAAATCAATGAAGCTAAATGAGAACTGCTGAACAATTTACTATGTTACACAATTGTAAAATTGAAACACCTAAGAATAAAACTAACATGTAATTTCTATTACCTCTCATCAGGATTTTATTACAGTAGATATAATGAATATTTTTAACTATAAAACACATGCAATAGGATTTTACAATTTTGTTTTCATAAAATCAATCGATTTACTTACAGCATCAATATTAATTAACATATAAATTGATCATAATATAATTTTTTATTACTCTAGAATGAAGTATCTACATAAAATAAATCCACATTTTCCTTAAACAATAAGTGTTTGAAATGCTTCAGGTTGAAGCAATAAGAGCGGTGTTGAAGAAAGAAATTGGTTTGCCTATTGTTGAGGTTTCTGATAAATCTGCAAAATTACATGGAAGCGATATATTATTTACAGGTATAAAATATATGACATAAATTATTAGGTAATAAATAAATTCTATTTAAAAAAAATTACAAAAATTTCATGGTATACCAACAATAAATCTTAACTTTTTTTTTTATCATTGTTCAATTTTTTACTTAAAAACACTAAATAGCATATATTATCACAACTATTAACCCCTGTTTTTTTTTTTTTTACATAATGTTACAGTACTGCTTTAGAGTCAAGTATATATTTTATCAATCATAATTTTATCTCATATAATTAATTTTTACAAAGTAATTTAATTTATTATGATATAAAAATATAATGAATAACTATTAAATATATTTCTATATACATATTCTTTGCAGTATAATTGTTTAAGTATAGCTCTGATGACACTATCAATTTACGCCTTAATTTAATATTTTAAACGTGTCATTATTAATGATCATCATGCCATGAAACTATTTATCTGAATGTGTTAAAGTTAGTTTAAATTATTAAATTTTATTATCACCCACGTTTAATTATAAAAATATCATTATTTATAGGCCGAGAATTCTTTATTGGAATAACAAAATGGACTAATGAATCGGGAGCATGTGCAGTTGCATCTGCTTTTCCCGAATATCCTTGTACTCCAATTAAGGTTAGAAAATTTTCAATTATTTTGTTACATATTTATGTAGGCAGTATGGTTTAAATGATAATTAAAGCCAGTAAAGTGATGTAACAGGTTACAGAAAACAAGCATCTTAAAACAATTGTATCAATGGCAGGACCAGATCTTATGTGTGTGGGCTCGAGTGATTCTTCAAAAAATGTTTTGAAGGTAATTTAACTTAATATTTCAACTAATATGTTATTAAAATATATTTTTAAATAATATTTAGAGATTAGAAAGAGAAGCTACGTATAGCTACCAAATTCTTACATTACCCGAAGATGAAGCCGCTAATGTTATGTACATCAATGGTACATTATTACATCGGTCAGCCAAAGAAATACCATTATCATTCAATGTAATATAATTTAATTATTTTTGATTTTTTTAATCGAATTTTTAATAAATATTAATTTATGAAATAATGATTTCAGGTTTTAGCAGAGAAAATAACTGACTTCACCCTACAATCAGTAGATATTTCTGAACTTTTAAAATGTGAAGGAGCCAATTTAAATTCATGTTGTCTTTTAGTCAGACGTACAAAACATATTAGGAGTTTATAATTTTTTATTATGTTATGCAATTTTATTCATTCCCCTACATCAGTATTATATACACCACTTTTCATGATCAACTTATTTATACACACAATATATTATACATACTCACACATATTATGTTTTTAATTCTAATGCTTATTAGTATGTTGCATGACAACATTTTTAAAAAATTAATGTGTACTAAAATTAAATCTTAACACAGTATGTTAATTAATATGTTCCTTAAAAAAATTTTAAATGATTGGATCTGATATTATGGTTACAACTTAGCATAAAATATTTATTAATATAATTTAATATTTATTAACAGACAATATTATATAATATAATCCAAAAATAAGCATTAAATTATTATTTACTTTCAAAAAATGTTTTCTTGTATTCACCCATTCTTATTTGTCATTTTGTTAACTAGTTATACATTATAGATTATAACATTAATAGTTGAAAATTAATACTAAAAATAAAATACCCATATATGTCTATGTGATAAAGTTAAATGGTAGTTTAATTCTAATCTAAGTCCACCAACCTTAGAATTAATTATTCAAGATCTAGATAAAATTTTAACCACAACTACTATTGTAACAAATTTGTTAAATATCTTTATTTTATCACATATACTCGTTTCATTAATAGTTACTCTTCACATATATTTTGATTATACATTTGTATACATTTATAAACCTTTAAAAATAATTTTAGAACTAACCAATTTACTATTTATTACATACAAATACAAAATGCTAGTAAAAATAGATATAAATATTTTTTAATGGAATTTGTTAAAGTAATATAGTAAATTTTCTGAACCTTAGAACCACCAACAGTTAAAGATAAAAAACATACAATAATTATGCTCCTAAACAAAATTATAAATATGAATCAATTAATAAGATATTTCAACATGTAACTATATAATTTTCTACCAATAATAATAATAATAATAGTATTAAAAATGCTATACCTGCATATTATTATGTTATCTATCTTACAAATGTACAACATAGCAAATGTATGCTGAGAAGTTCCAATTTTATGTAGTAACCTTGAATAATAAAGTGAATTTATTTAATTAAAACATTATCTATATTTTAACTTGGTTTTTTTATAATATTCTAGAGATTTATAATTCCTTTGAAAATTAAAATATTTATGAAAATACTACAGGACTACATAGATAATGTTCTTACCTTTAAGTTTAATAAATAGATTAATTCACTTAAATTTACTTACTATACAAAATTAGAACTACAGAACATAAGTTGATTGCTGTATTATAAGTTAGTAAAATATAAGAGTGGCCGATCAGGTTGTTTGCTATAAAGAGGCTCCAACAATATTTTAATATATATATATAGTTACAAAAAAATAAATTATATTATCATTACCTAATAATTTTAAACTGAAAATCAATAAAGAAATTTAATTAAGATATAGCTATTTATTAAAAGCATAAGTTTTATCTAACAATTTATTATCTCTATGATCTTTTCTTAGTGTTTTGATATACTAAGAGTCCTTTTTATTTTTATATTATTTTACAAAAATTGTTATTGATTATTGCGAGAAGGGTATTCAAGATATGGTTTTGCTTAGGAGACTAATATTTCTAGCACCAGTCTAGCTTTGACTCTAAATTACCTGGAAAAATATATTTATAAACTTACCCCCCCCCCCATAAATGTGCATATTTGTGTTACTGGTTTAAGTAAAACTTGAAGTATTTTTTGAATAATATCAATATCATACAAACATATAATTAAGATAAAATATTATTAACATTATAAATACAGTATTGTAACTATTTTACTAATTAACAGTATGATATTAAAACTGTATTTTTAATTATATAAATTAATGGTTAGTCAAGTACAGAAATTATTTACAATTACCTTGAAAATTTAAACTTATTTTTTTTCTTTTTCTGCTGATACCACTTCTTCAACAGTGTTAGCACTTCTAAAATTCGGAAATTGTTCCCACGGAGTGGATAGCTCAAAACGTCTGAATTCCTGTGACATTTCTAATGGTTCTACCACAACTCTCTTTTTTTCATCATCATACCTCACCTAAACAATATATTTTTTTTTGAAGTTAATATTATACTTTTTAATCTATATACTAATGAATTACTTCTACATATCCAGACAATGGAAAATCTTTACGAAATGGATGACCTTCAAATCCATAATCAGTAAGAATTCTTCTTAAATCAGGGTGATTAGTGAAAAACACACCATACATGTCCCAAATCTCTCTTTCGTACCAATTTGCTGCTTCATAAATAGATGTAATAGAATCAATTGGTGTTAACTCATCAGTATATGTCTTGACACGTATGCGAGTATTGAATCGAAGTGACAACAGATTGTAAACGATCTAATGAACAAAAAGTGTAAAAAAAAATCTGAATCATTAATTATAATATATTATTTTTTTCAAATAATTTTATTGTTTTATAGTAGTAATAAGTAATAACATTGATAACTAATATCAAAATTCATATGTATTAAAACTAATGGATTAGATTAGATTAAGTTAATACGTCAAAAATGGAAGACAAATAGGTATGGCTCTAATATACAGGTTTTCAATGGGTCACTCTAATAGATGTATTAAATTTGAATTTTATGATATACCATTGAATATGAAAAATGATTCTGAGCAGAAAGGGTTTATCAATTTATATAACTGAGTTTATTTCATGATATGTGTTTAGGTAATGCTACTGAATTAATTTACTAATAATAGTACAGCAGGTTAATTTAAATATGAAACAATACAATCTTACTAAAATTATGGCTTGGTGTGGCACGTTGGCTGCTACCAGTTGCGGAATGCAACTGGGAGTAAGTAACAGCCACAGCTACTAGTTCTCAGATGGGTGACCACCCAGGCTCATAGTAGTTAAAAATCTTACCACACATACACATGTTTGCTATCAACCGTAACAACCATAACAATCTACCTATACCAACCTTAGCTCTACCCACAGTTCATTACCCCTACAACAGCTAATGGCCCTAATCGCCAGGCTTAAATTCAATAAAAAAAAAAAAATCTTGCTGAAAAACAGTATGTTTATAATAACTTAAAATTGATATGAATATTTTATAAATGTAAAATGATTGCAAATAGAAAAATTCATAAGAAAGATAAACATTTTAAGTCTCCACAAATAATATTTTTGAATCATAAGTTTATAATAAAACCAAGAAATCAATTTAGTTAAAAACTGATTTAGTGTAAAATTCTCATTTTTTTATCATTTTTCATTTTTCTTTTTTTGATTCCCAATTATTTTGAAAATTACCGAAAACTTTTTACATCCATTTACATTAGAAACCACTCCCTAAGTTGAAAATTAAAGCATTTTTACTGCCCCAAAAAGTTATTACAAGCATCAAAAAAAAAAAACCCAAACATATCTTAAAGTCATTGCTCTGCTTAGAATTTAAATAAAATAATGAAATATGTATATGTATTTGATACCCATATACATCACAAAGTTAAAATGGACCACAATTTATTAAATGTAACATAAATAATAAGAGAAAATAAATTTACTGTAAGCAAAATATTTAAAAACAATTATAAAAACCTACTTATTATTACTCTTTTTTTGAATACACATCCAAATATTTTAATTTCTCTAGGTTTTTCTATTAAACACAAACTATTATAAAAGCAGCATTTTATATTTTGTATTGAAAATATGAAATAAACACACCTAGTACTTAGCGAGTAATAAATAAACAAAAAATGTATAAAAACTACTTAATTCATAATAAATTAAATATTAAGTATCTGTAAACTTTTTTTAAAATTTTAAAAATCAGGTAATTGATTTTTAAAATTTAGAATGCAATAAACTATTATATAAATTAAAACTCTTTTTATCAGCTCCGTATTACCTTTAATTCTTAAAAATAGAATTTTTTTATGAGACATGAGAACTCAAACTCAACTTGTCATAATATTAAGGTAGGAATCCTCCAAGATAGTAACATGTCAATAGTACTTTATAGTCCTTAATTATTTACTTAATCTCCAAAACCTCAAATACCATTTTAACTACATACGCCAATAACATAGCAATTCTAGCATCTAATATTAATCCTTCATCACAATCTAACAATCTAATATTACCACAATTTGATCTCATCCTGGATCCAAAAATGAAAAATGAAATTCAACAGAACCAACTCTATTCAAGTATTCTTTACTTTAAATCAGAAAGGATCTCCTTCACAAATTCCAAGTAATAATCCTTTGGTAAATTCAAACCTTATTAGGTTAAAAAGAAATTAGCTAAGAGACACTTCACCACAATCATTATAACATAATATATAAAAAAAAATCAATGTAAGACATAATAATTATCAGAGATGCAACTAATAGATTGCCTCCTTTCTCATGTCTTCATAAAATGTAATTTGTTCATATGATCTAATTTACTGATTACACTACTTGATAGAAAAAAAAATATAAATATTCTTATAATAAAAAAATTCTTTACCTCAAATCTATTTGAACGTTGAGGAACATCTACAGCGCATAAATCTGATAAGTTAGCAAATTGACAATTTGTGTGGTTTTTTAAAAAGTGAAATACTGGTAAAACGCCTTCAGGTGCTATCAGTAATTCTAATTCATTTCTAGAACTTATTTGAACTTTTTGAATATACTTAGGTAAACATTCAGCAACAAAATTTCCAAATCCAAGATATTGATCTGTTATCGACTCAAATTTTTGTTTTGGTACCACTAAAAAAAAATATGTATACATTAATTATAATTAATAATACAGATTTGTTTAGGAAATAATAAGAGGCTAATTATAAAATAGTTTTAATATCATTTTGTTCAAAAAATTATTTAATTATCATTTGTTTATACTTAGTAGTTAATTACAATAAAAAAATAAAACACAATACAACTAATCTAATCATTTTAAAATTTAAAATATAGTTTTCACATTTTAATGAAGTATATAAAATGTATATATTTTATTGTGAATCAAGAGTCTTTAGGGTTAGGTTAGGCATAGGTTTCAACTCATAAAATTACTAATCACGAATTTTTAAAATAAATGTAACCTTCAAGATTTTTGTAGAAAAAATAGAGTGTAATTATTCCAAGCAGTTCAAGTAAGTTGTGTGTTATTCTAGCAAAATTCACCAACTCATTCGGATTCTAACTTTGATATGAGTCTATACATGTCTACTACATATTAAATTTTTTTCTTAAAAATCTCTTCTTAGGTGTGTATTATGGATCTATTTTGGAATTAGCTATGATAAAGTACTCACTTTTTTACCTTATTATTCAAGATAAAAAATTAAAATAGTTTTACTTAATTTAAACTTTTAATCAGTACAATTAAATTATATTATTTTATTGTATTAAGAAGAAAAACTAAAACAGTTGATGAACCACCAACATTGTGTAAATTACATATGTATTCGTTTGTTAAATAGCCATAAAAAAGTATGTATAACTAAATACTTGGCAAACAATATCTACCTGTAGTGGATTCAGCTCGGATCATCGTTTTGAAATACTTGGGCATTCTGCTGCCTAAAGTAAAAAAACATTGATAAAGAAAATTTTTTAAATCGATCATTATAAATATGTATTGGTAAAAAAAAGAAATTCTTTTAGCCATTACCAGTCTGAATTGTACTTAATCTTTGAATAGCTCTGGTTATGATTCTTAACGACATTGTTAAAAATAACAGTTATGAACTTTGCAATATTTATAATCAAACAATAAATTATAAAAAGAGAAAAATTAAAAAAAAAATATGAGAGAAAAATTTTCCACGTAATGTCCAGAACTTTATGAACTGTAAAGTGTAAATTGTGAATTTGTGATACTATTACTGTATCCTGTGATAGATAATATTATTAGCAATAGCATTGAATAATATTGAAATGATACTCGACCAGCTGTTAGGGTTTTGTTTACCCAATAATCTGAAGTATGAACCTCTAAGATGCATGGAAACACATGATTTCTACGCAGATTAGTGTTGTGAATAGAGTTACTCTGATTGGCCAATTTTTAAAGCGGCAAGTTTAAAATTATAAAATCAAATAATTAAAATGAAGAACACAATCATCAGATTCGAGTGGTTCGACCAAACCAAATCCCACAAGGTCATAAGATATTTTATAGATAAATTTCGTTGTAAATACTAAATATCATTTTAAAATATCTTAGTTCATGGTGAATAATATAATTCGTAAATTTATGAACTTAGTATATGGTAATAATTTGTACCTATAGTAATAAATGTGTAATCGTATTCTATTGGTTAGAACTTAATACTTATAGATTATAATATGATCTAAATTAGTACCACAATTAACGAAATATTCAGTATACAGTAAACTTTTCGATTTTTTTCGGTTTTTTAAATCAAAAAATAAGCTAAAAAGATACCTATCAAAAGTAGGTAATACCAAATACTTTAAATTTAAATTGTTTAAACAAAAAAATCAACAATTCCCAAAGAAAAGGTGATTTCTCATTTCAAAAACATCTTAGATTACAAAAAATATAACACTGAGTAATTAACCTTTAGTTATTAACACTGATTCTTCGTACGCAAGGTAGGGCCACAATTACGATTGTCGATATTATATAATATGAAATGTTTTCAAGCATATTTTATCTTAAAAAATAAACTAATTAATTAAATTATTTATATCACTTCTAGTAAGTTTATGTCTCATTTAGGCTTGATGTTTAGTAAAATTATTAATAACCAATAATTACAATATAACCTATGTTTAGCTGCGTATAACTCTTCAATTATGGAAGATATGAAAATCAAACGTATAGGTATTCTAGGTATTATTCAGTAAAATAATACACAAATAAAAAAACTCATGCTAAATATTGAATTATTTGAAGGAATGTACGAGATTTATTTTTAAAAATTCTGTTTTTTGATAAAAAATGTTTATTTTTTTAAATGTAATAATAACATTTTACATAATATTTGGTTTAATTGCATATGTTGATTGATAGAATAATTTAAAAGCTTTAAAATAAAAACAAAAATTATGTTAAAATGTTGAAAATTTTTGGAGAAACATAAAAAAAATATGTGGTAGGTTTAGTTTTGTTTAAAAAAAGTTAAATTGCCGATAACTTAAAAAATAAAAAAGTTAGAGCACTCTTTAAAAGGTATTTTTTCATAATTTTAGGTATACTTTGGTATGGTTGGCCGGTCATTTTCCCAGAACACGTATATAAAAAAAAGTTTTAAATATACACAAATGGCCCAAAATATTTTTAAAATTATATTATGTGTATAAAACAACCATATAACCATTTATTGAAAATAACAAGTTTCTACAGTTACTGTTCTTTAAGTTAAACCGAAAAAATAAAATCATTTTATAGAAAACTGTGTTTATGTAAAATTTTATATTTATTTTGAAGAATACAAGGAATTTTAACCTCTCCAAATAACAAGTTTGTTCAATTTTATAACCTAAACTTCTTTCAAAATTAAAAATTGAATCATTCTTTCTCTATTTATTGTATATACACATTACACACACAAAATAATCAACATATTAAAATCTAAAAAGTAAAAACACATTGACTTTAATTTCAATATATCTTTTAAATAATTTATGTAACATGCTTTATCATAAATTAATAATTTGTATGTAGTTTTTAGTAGATTCATACCAGTAAGTTCATAGAAGGGTGTTTGAGTGTTCAAACACCTCCCAAAATATTTTATTTTTTGTATGGTTATTTACTTATTAAGTTTTAATGTTAATTGTTTTATAATACTTTAGACAGATTTATTATCACATAGTGTTTGTGAAAAATTGACTAAAACAAAATAAAAACTTTAATATACTCAAAAAAATAAATAAATAAATAAAATAAAATTATACTTATTGTGTATTGGCATATTTCTTGTTTATTAAGAAAAGTTCTACTTTTCAATAACTGGTTTTCAAAACCACCCTCACATCAAAAAAAAACCTATTTCTTTGTGCACATTCCTGATACCAATGAACTATTTATACATAGTTTGCTTTTGAGTAATGATGCTATTACAAAAAAAAAAAAAATAATAATAATATTTATTTGTTGATCCCAAGTTTTCTTTTATTATAAAATACATTTTTTTTTTTTTTTCACAAAAGATAATATTCATTTTTATTAGTTATTACTTATTACCATAATTGTTAATGCTTATTAAATACAACATATCAACTTCAACTGTTCATATATTATATAAAATAAAAATAATATTATTGTAACTTTTTTACTTGAAAACCATGAAAGTATCTCATGTTTAATACTTTAATGAATTTAACAAGATAAACAAATAATAGTAATAAATTATTAATGCCAATGTACTTCACTAGGATGAGTTATTTGACCAAGCTTAAAGAACCTAGTTAAATTGTTTTGAGTAGTTGATTGAGTCTTTTTTGATTGTGGCTGTGGCAATTTTCCATCACGTTTTAACACTCCAACACATTTCCAAGTATCCACAGTAGCTAAAAAAATAAAATAAGGATCAGAAACATTCATTAAAATTAATTTAAAATTATAATTTCCTTGAACTAAAATTTAAACTATTATTTTTAGTTGTATATTCAATACATTTGATAAGATTGAAAAAAAATTATTTATATTTTTAAGCTTACATTTCCAAAGCCTCACACATCCATCATCACCAGATGATGCTAAAACAGTACCAGTTATATTCCATGCAACACGCCAGACTGTACAAAAATGATCATTAAATTGAGCTGCAGTTTCAATAGTATAAGGAAAACCACTAGTAGCATCACTGTGTAAAAATAATCCTATTATTAATAGAGAATTAAATTTATTTTTTAACAATTATATCATAATTTTAATACATACACAATTGGTTTAAGTTTTAAAATGCGAACATTATTTGTAGCAATTGCAAGCAAATAAAATGATCGTCCCATATTAGGAGCAAATATCATATCGTGTACTGGATGAGCTACACTATTTACAGATTCTGTTTTTGCCCATCGACGAGATACTTCATTATATTCACATATAAATACTTTACTGTTTATAGTATTGGAATTGTCATCACTACCAACTGCTATCATTGCGTTCGGCATTCTAAAACTGTAGGTACATAATATTGTAAAATACTTTTATAATTATAATATATTATTGAATTAAATTAATTGTATTGTATCTGTATATATTTTATCATGAAATTATAGTATAATAATATTGTTGGTTAACTGCTTAACCCTTGTGGGTGTTAGTAAATAAATAAATAAAAAAATTAAATATTATTACGTAGATAATAAAGGATTCCATGTGAGACAACTACTAGGCACTTTTAATGATACTTCATGTTGTAATGGCCATTGAGCAAGGTTCATTGCATCAGGAGCTTCATAGATTCGCATGACTCCATCAGCTGAGCAAGTTGCTAAAATTAATCCAAAAGATTTTGGACCAAACTTTACATCAGTTACAGATGTGCGGGAATCGACCAAGTTTGCCCTACGCACCCAATGCCGTAGTAATGTTCCATTTTCATTACTTTCGCCCACTACAAAATAACAACTGTCAATATGGTTCAGTTAATGTATTTGGCATATTTTACACAATTTGTAAACTATAGTTGTTACAATACTGACTTATTTCTTCCCAAATGGCTGCAGTACGGTCAAAGGAACATGTTGCTATTACTTGACCAAATTCTGGATGAGCCCAAGTTACTTTCCAAACAGATCCACTGTGAGCCTTCCAACTAGCTGTCAAATTCCAATTACCTTGTTCATCTTGGTCCCAAACCTATATTTAGCAATCTTATTAAAAAGTATCATTTAACATTTTCAATTACAAAAAATCAACAGAATTACACTTACTTTAACAAATTGGTCTGTAGAACATGTCGCCATTCTTTCTCCATAATAGTCAAATGCAACATCATGTATTAAGTCTTTATGCTCTGCATTAATACTATGAGCCTCAACCATACTTTACATTTATTATGTACAGGAGATGAAAGTATTTTTTTAAGATTTATGATGTAATGATGTATTGGAGTGTGTAAGTGTAGTAAGTAGTTTAATAAAAGAAACTAAAAAGAATAAAATATTGATAATGTTTAAATTTTCAAACGCTTAAAGTTCAACATTTATGTTTTGTTAAAGATTATGATAAAAACTTTTAGGTTAGGTACATTAAATAGGTATATTTGCAATATCTTTGGCGCTCGATCGATAGTTTCACGGCTGGCGCCAGGATGTCGTTGAAGATACAAAAGGGTAAGTTTATTATGGCTTTTTGAACATGTATTGATTTTTGGAACTGTATATGGGCTTAACGAAATGGTCCAGAAAGCTTACGGAACTATTCTTGTCTTTTGTTTCTACATAACTACAAGTAAAAATAACTAATTTGTGATTATTTTTAATATTCGATATTTTTAATTAAACAAAATATACCAATTAATTAGATTAGCCAATTATTGATAAAAACAACTTTTAACCACAGTGATTGAAACATATTTAAAATAATGGAGAAATTATAAGCAGCGATATTGCTATAACCTATACCTATATATGTGTTAAATATAATTCAAAATAAACAACAAAAATTATTTTAGAATAAATCATTGTTTTTTGAATATTCAATTTGTTCAAACACTTAAAAAAATAAATGTGACTTTATGTAGATATTTTTTATATACTTATAAAAACAACTTTTGAGGAATTTTATTAATAATTCTCAAGTTTTTGATTTAAAAAAAAACAAAAATCAAAAAATCAAATAAAAATAAAACAAAATTTAAAATTTAAACCCTTCACCCCCATTACAATTTACGTACCTATGATTGTTATAACCAT